ATTTTTCCCCAAAGAGACTGTGGCACATTTTAAACCAAACTACCAAAGTTGGGGACCAGGTAATTAGTTTTTTTGGTTGTAGTAGCCCAAGAAGGTAGAGGTGTGGAGAGAAGGTGTGGAGGGGCTGCCGTCTATGTGGATGAAGACAGCACCTATAGCAATGCAACCATAGATCTTTAAAAGATCCTTACAGCGTTCATTACTCAATGCAGTTAAATATTTGCCTTTCTCCTCTACAATCTCAGAGCGCTTTGTTTAAACCTCATAGGCACTCCTTCTTTTATTGAGAGGGCACTTGGCAGAGTGGCCAGGGAAATGGTCTTGAAGCCACAAAGCTCTGGATTCAAGTCACCCCTCTGATACGCACTGGCTCTATCTGGGCAAGCCACTTAATTTCTCAGTGTTCCCGGCAACTCTAACACTATAAATTGACTTACGTTAGTAGAATTTCATAGCCTAGAAATGAAATTATAGCTCCAGGCCTTATCTCTTTTAAATATTGTGTGTGTCATTTTTTTTCTGACTAGATTATAAGATCTATAAGATGGAAGGTAGGAACAGAGTCCTGTTTATATGGTTTCTCTCCCAATATCTAGTATACTTACTGCCTTGGACCTCCATTTTTTTGGTAGGGGGAAAAGGGTCTGTATTTTTTTGTCTGAACCAGTCATTTCATTGCCATAGGGAACATCCTGTGTAGAAACTCCCTCCAGTAAAGCAGATTGGCAATTTATTTGCCATTCATGATTTTGGAGGGTTACCTCACATACCCTCTTGCTGTGAGTGAAGCTTTGTAATAGGCTCCTTTTCTCATTGGGAATCTCATCAGCTCCTCTGAGTTTTATTATCATCTACATGCAGGTGACTCCCATATCTATATATCCATCTCTAGTCTCTTCCCTAAACTGTGATCTTTCATTTGTGGTTGTTGTTCAGTCATGTCCAACTTTCTGCGACCTCATTTTGGGATTTTCTTGGCAAAGATACTGGAGTGATTTGCCATTTCCTTTTGCAGCTCATTTTACAGATAAGAAAACTGAGGTAAGCAGGATTAAATGACTTGTCCAGGGCCACACAGCTAACAAGTGTCTGAGATCAGATTTGAAATCATGAAAATGCATCTTCCTGATTCCAAGCCCAGTGCACTAACCACTGTTACCTAGCTGCCCCGACTTTGCATTGCCAGCTGCCCATTTTACGCATAGGCATCTTAAACTAAACATGTCTGAAATATGATTCCTCTTCCTCTTCCAAGTCTTCAAGCCTATCTCTCTTCCTAACCATCCTATTTGTGTTGAGGATATCACCATCCTTCCAATCCCCCAGGTTTGTGACCACGGGATTATTCGGGACTCCTCATTCTTGCTCACTCCCTAATCAGTTGCCAAATTACCTCCACAAACTCTCTCACATCTGTCACCTCTTCTCTACTTTTACAGCCACCAGTGTAGCTCTGATTCTTGTCATCCATCTCCTAGAATATTGCAGTAGCCTTCTTAGTCTCTTTGACTTAACTCCCTCCCCACTGCAATTTTATCTCCATGCCTTATCAATTAATGCACTTCTAAACCAGGCTTCTAACTAACCCTGAGTGTTTTTCATGTTTCTGTTATGTGGGTAGAGACATGGCTGGCGGAAAGAATGCTGAAGTAATGTTGCGTATTTATGTAAAGGGCAGAATTGGCTCCAGAGACTCTTTGGGGAACCACAGGGAGGAAAGGAAAGACTTGGAAGCTGTGGACATTTAGGGAAAACCAGTTCTTCAACACGTCCATGATTACCAGGCTGCCTCCCTAGAGACTTTGGAGACTTTCCCTTGAATGAGATCAGGGACTCTTTTGGGTGGAGTAGATCTCATCCTGCTCTCAGCTAAAGGGCTCATTTACTCATGTGTTTTCTGGTTTTTTACAGTTTTTATAGTTTCTAAGCTGTAGAACTTTTCTAGTTTCTGTTTGCTTGGATAAATGAGTTTATTGGCTACTTGTGATGATCTTTTGCGTAACCAGCTCTTAGTGGGAAGGAGTTGAACTGGTGAATGTAAACTAAAGGCTACTTTGCCCTTATGAGTGGCCAGGGAAGCAGCTTTTCTTTTTACCTTTAAGTATCATATCCCAAGACTAACAATATTTGAGTGAATGGGTCAGATTCCAGAGATATTTATCCACGCCATCCACGAGCCATATCCATGCATGTAGACAACCAATGTGGGCCCATCTATCTTATATGGATGTATTACAGTTTGACACTGTTACTCATCTATTCAATATGCTTTTGTGGCTCTCAGTTGCCTTGAAAAGTAAATATAGATTCTTTGGTGGTATTGAAAAACCCCTCACAACATGGCCTCAATATCCCTTTCCAGCCTTATTACATGTTATTTCCCTTCTACATTCCAGTCAAACTGGCCTTTTGAAGATTTCTTATACATGGCACTCTGACATCTTTATGCCTTCGCACTGGCTGTTTCCTATGTCAAGAATGCGTTCCCTCTTTGCCTTCAAATCTAGGAATGCCTTGGTTCCTTCAAGATTCAACTCAAGCATCTTCTACGTGAAGCTTTTCCTGATTTTCTTAGCAGCTTTTTCCTCCCCCCCCCATATATAGGTATGTTGTAAATTTATCTATCTATCTATCTATCCACATGTCTCATCTGATAGGATGTAAATAAGTTCCTTGAAGGCAGTGACAATTTCACTTTTATTTCTGTGCTCTCATCACTCAACACAGGCTTGAAGTTTAATAAATGTTTGTTGATTAATCAGATCGATTTATTTAAGTGATATACTTGCCTAGGTCACACTGCTCCTATGTACTGTAGATGGGACTTTTACCTGGGTCTTTCTAATTCTAAGGTTCTAATTCTAATTCTAATGCCTCTCTCTCTCTTGGAATTCAGTTTACTCATCTGTAATATTAATGAATTAAATAGATTAATGGATCAAATAATTTCTAAAGTCCCTTCCAATTCCAAAATGAGGTTTTTTTAATCAATAAATGTTCATTGAATTGATGCTTAAGCTCTGTCTTCAAATATATATCTTTTATTCTCCCATCTCACTCAACTTAATGGAGAAGCAATATGGTATAGTAGACAGAATATAGAATCTCGAGTTAGGAGATCTGGGTTCAAATTCAGGCTCTGCTATCTACTATTATTAGCTGTTTAACCTTGGGTAGATCCCGTCTCCTTTCTGGATCTCTCTTTCTTCATTTGTAAAATGAGAGGCTTGGACTAGATGATCTTTAAGGACCTTTGTAGCTTTGTCTATAATCTTATTTTCGGATTCCCAAGTGTTGGTTAGATTTGGAAAAGATCACTCATAAAGTGAATTCGGTCACTCCCTCCTCCCCTCTAAATTTTTCCTGCTGTCACTGATGGTTGGTTTCAACTAATAGGTCCAGTCTGAGGGTCGTGACCTGATCATGGGGGTGACCATACAGTACTAGAGCATCATCTGGATTCAGGGAAACCACAGGCAAGATGGAAAAAACAAAACAAGGTCAGAATTCTCCCACTTTCTATTTTCTACACAGGAATTGAGAGATTTGTGATCTAGTACTGTCTTTACCAATAGCTCAGATGTGTGCCAGTAGAACAGGTCATGACTATTCCAGCCATCATTATTCCCATCTCTAAAATGGGGAGATAATAATTGCCATCAGATGATTACAGTAAAGTACTTAGAAATGCTTAAAAGGTGTCGTATAAATAGGAAACATTGTTAGCATGATTCGTACCAAGCAGTAGTGTTTTTCTTGTCAATACTTGTTTCTGAATAAGTAGGATGTTCCTGTGAAAACAGTCCAGAATTTTACCCAAATATTCCTTAAATAGATTTGTGCTGGCATTAGTGTTTAATCACAAATTACCTGGATCTGATTAGGGGCATTTTCTCCTTGAAGATATGGGCATCCGCTTCTTATGATATTGTCTAAATTATACAGGGATCTTAGTTTTAGGTTGAACCCATGTAGCTGATACTTTAGGGACTGATCATGTTAGGATTGATCCAACTGAAATGCTCACTTGTGTCAGCATGACTCTAAGCAAGGTTGAATCCCAAGAACAGAGCAGTATTTAGAAGATACTGGACATGTCCCCACAATTGAACATCACTTGTCTGGCTTACACAACTGTATCTTGTGCTACAAACTGGCTGTTTCACACAGTTCTATAGCGTGTAAACTAAATGTAAGGTTTGCATGGTTTGCCTTTTCTTCATAGCTGAAATGGTTCAGGAAGGCATGTATTATAGAACTGTCTTTACTCTCCCCGAGGATAATAGAAATAGTTCATATTTATACAACTTTTGGGCCTTCAGATCTTATCCTGTCCCTCACTATCCCCACTGCTCGCCATATCATGCCCCTCCTGTCAACATTATCATCAGAACGAGTTCCCTCTCCCTCAAGTCCCTTCTTTTCTACCAGTGTCTTTGTTGGTTTCCCATATTCCCTGAGTATTGAGATCTTCCTTTCTACTTAGCTAGTCTTTGCAGGGGGCAGTGGAGTAAAGTGAGGAGACTCATTGGTCTGGATGGAGTTGCAGTGGTAGAAAACAAGGCAAAGAGGAGGATAGTAGATAGGAGACAGAAGACAAAGATTTGTTAGGCAAAAGAAAGGGATGGATCAATTGGTTCTGCAATCTGTTTGCTGGTCAAGATTTCAGCCAATTTCAGGGAAGGCATGAGAGGAGAGGTCACAGGGTATTCAAATAAGCACTAATCAGCGGAGCTGGCTGAGAAACTTCCCTCAAGATGGCAGATCACAGTGTCAGCCATGTGCTGTATTAGTCGATTATGGTTTAGTCATCAAGATGCCTAACACAGCACGGATCATCTCATTCCATTCATCAGCATTTGTTTTCTTTTCATGTAGTAATGGGTAGAGGGTCCTGCCCGTTGTCTCATTCCATATACGTGGATATTAAGATGATCATCACAGAGTAAGTCATTCTTAATTGACTAAAGTTCTTTATCCCTACAGGAGAGAATGAGATTATGCCAGTGAATAGCCCGTCTACGCAGATTTACCAGGTAAAGATAACTAAGTTTTTTTCTGGTGATTTCATATGCAAATTAGTTCTTGATTACTCAGTTCAATAAACATTTATTTAACACCTACTGTGTACAAGACTCTGGAGATACAAAGCAAAAAATGAAAAAGTTCTTTAAAAAGACTATTAAATAATGTATACATTCCCAATTAAAGTCACTGGATTAATCAGTATCTGTGCAATTAATACAGGTCATTCCACTGAAAGGCTTTTACTTTGTCTCTGATATGTATAGCTTATTTGGCCACTAATTAATTCCCTTCTTTGACCCCCTTTCTAACCCCAACTATGAGGTAAAAATGACATCAAAACACTGTTGCCTCTCTTTGGCACTTATTATGGTCTATTATACTCATGTATTTTAGCTTCCTTACTAGACTGTAAGCCCCTGAAGGCAGGAATTATGTCTTATTTCATCTTTGTATCTCCCATAATACTTAGCACAGAGTTTTGTACATATCAGACACTTAATAAATGTTTGTTGGGTGTTGCCTGATTGAATGAAACAAAGACATTTTTCTGTACTTAAAAATCATCTAGATTAACTCAGTCCTCCTTTCCCTAGGATAGACACATCTTTAGATGGGTTGAAGAAATGAAGCCTTCCTAGAGATAATGCAATATTCCCTTTATTGCATACTCTCTTATCATTTCTCAGAAACATAGGTTCCCAGCTGGGGGTGGTCCAGCTGGCCGGAGAGCTGGAGTTATCTGTGATTTTTCATGAAAAGTTTCCTTGCAGGGCTGGCATTAGGCAAAACTGGATAGTAGATGAGATCAGTCCTTATCACTCCCTCACCCTCCATTTTCGTAAGGTAAATACTATGTGCCTATTGCATACATGAAAAACTTTGTGTAAGAGTACAAAGAAATATTCAGACACTTTCCCTGCACTCTAAGCACTTTCAGTCTTTTGGGGAAGACATTCTAGATACCTAGTGTTCCAGTGCAAGACAGTATATGCAAAGTGCCATATGAATAATTCAGACAATAAGTGGTATCAGAGTCTAGCAAAGCAAGAGATTGTTTCTAGCTAGAATGATACAGAGACACAGTGGCACACTGGTTAGAGTACTGGACCTGGAGTCAGGAAGACCTGAGTTCAAATCTAGCCTCAGACACTTGCTGTGTGACCCTAGGCAAGTCACTTAACCCTGTTTGCCTCAGTTTCTTCATCTGTAAAATGAGCTAGAGAAGGAAATGGCAAACCACTCCACCATCTTTGCCAAGAAAACCCCAAATGGGGTCACAGAGAGTCAGATGCAACTGAACAACAACAATTTGTGATAATAATAAGAACACATTTACATTGTGCTTTAGGTTTGCACCATGCTGATTCATATGCAATAGATAGTGTGAGTATTATTATCCTCATTTTGTAGATGAGGAAATCAAGGATCTGAGAGGCTACTAATAATAGCTGGCATTTATATAGCACTTTAAAGTCCACGGAGCATTTTACATACCTCATTTCACTTATCTATGATCATAGCTAATATCTGAGGCAACATTCTAACCTAGGTTTGAATCAAAGTACAGTGCTTTATTCACTGTATGTTATGTATCTTGAGTTAGGTTTCCTTTAAGAGGAGTAATTGAAAATGTAGGTTGAGATCAGATTATTGAGGACCCTAAGGGACAAGCTAATATGTTTATACTTTATGGCAAAAGGTTTTTGTTTGTTTGTTTTCTTAGTAAGGGAGTGATATGATGAAAGCAGTATTTCTGTGAGATTAATCTGTGTAGGAAGGGGAAAGTACTAGAAGCATTTAGGAGGCTATTGCAGGGGTCCCAGGGAGGAGTTCTGGCCCAAGAGAGGGTTGGGCTGGAGAGGAGACAGTGGAGAATTAGAAAAGAAGGGATAGATCTGAGACTCATTATGGAGGAAGAATTAATAGAATTTGGTGACTAGATGGGAGTGGGGTTGGGAAGGAGGAATCACAAAATGACTGAAATTTTGAGTGAGAGAATAGTGGCATTAACAGAAATAGGGAAGCCAGGAAGACGACCTAGTTTTGAGAGACATGCAATGACTTTGTTTTTAGTTATATTGGGCAGCTGGGTGGCACAGTGGATAGAACATTGGGCCTGGAGTCAGGAAGACCTAAATTCAAATCGTACACTTCCTAGCTGTGTGACCCTGGGCAAATGACTTAACTTTGCTTCAGTTTCCTCATCTGGAAAAATGAGCTGGAGAAGGAAATGGCAAACCATTCCAATATCTCTGCCAAGAAAACTCTAAATGGGGTCATGAAAAGACAAACATGACTGTAAATGACTCAACAACAACAACATCTTGGTGTGACATAAAGGTGGATGTGTCCAGTAGGGAACTGGAAATGAGGGACGGAATCTTAGGACAAAGACAGGGATAGAAATATGAGTATTGTTCCTCTTGAGTTGAAAGCTGTGGGAGTAGATGAGAAAGCCAAGGAAGAGGGGTTAAAGAGTAAAGAAGAAAGGAGAAAGGAATGCTCTTGGGGTAAGCCCGTACTTAAGGAGTATGGAAAAGAAAGGGAAGATCCAGTAAAGAAGACAAAAGAGCAGAGGTACAGTGGAAAGAGCGCTGATTTGGGATCGAAGGATCTGAGGAGGATCTGAGTTCAAATCCTACCTGGTGGACCTTGCCAGGTCACTTAAACTTTCTGGACTTTAGTTTCCTTAGTTGTAGTTGGAGAAGGTTAGTCTAGGTGGCCTGTAAGGTCCCTTCGAGATCTGAATCTGTGATAAGGAGAATCAGGATGGTGGTCGCTGTCCTTCGTATTCGAGGAGGACCAAGATGACATCACCATGCTAGTTAAGTTTTAGTGTGTCTGACCATGGCTGATCAGACCAATAGGAGCTCGGAATGTTCTGTCACAGGTCTGGCAAAAATAGTCTGTGTAAACCTTTGGGGTGGATTCTCTAAGTCTGCGTATCTTGTGTTTCTCTTGAGCTACTGTAATTCTACCTTACTCATAGAGCCCAGCACCTTCTCTGATGTGGGCACGCCATGTTGAGTGGTCCTGTGCCAGTGTCTCCTATGTCACACAATCAATTCCACAGTTCTTAAGAGAGACTTTGAGAGTGTCCTTGTATCTCTTCTTCTGACCACCATGTGAATGCTTGCCCTGTGTGAGTTCTCCATAAAATAATCTTTCTGGCAAGAGTACGTTTTGCATTCAAACAACGTGACCAGCTCATCAGAGTTGCATTCTCTGAAGCAGAGTTTGAATGCTTGGCAGTTTAGTTCGACAAAGGACCTCAGTGTCTGGTATCTTATCCTGCCAGGTGATCTTCAGAATCTTCCTAAGACAATCCATATGGAAGTGATTCAGTTTCCTGGCATGGCGCTAGTAGATTATCCAGTTTTCACAGGCTTACAGCAATGAGGTTAGCAAAATGGCTTTGTAGACCTTCAGTTTGGTAGAATTCAGTTGCTGAATGATGAAAGCCAAAGGAACAGCTGAGTTAAAGAAAGAGGGGAGTGGGTTAATTTTGTAGTCCCTCTCCCTTCTGGTCTCTAGCTTAGACACCTGGCTCGTGCCTAGTGATATTGTGAAGCTCAAATGTGAGATAATGGAGGTAAGGTGCTTTGCAACTCTTTTTTTTTTGGCTAGGCAATGGGGTTAAGAGACTTGCTCAGGGTCACATAGCTAGTGTCAAGTTTCCAAGGCTGGATTTGAACTCAGTTCCTCCTGACTCCAGGACCATTGCTGTATCCACTGTGTCACCTAGTTGCCCCTACACTTTGTAAATCTTAAAGTACTATATAAATGCCAGTTATTATTATTATTATTATTAATAGCCTATGGTCACCAGGCCTCCTGTCTGGTGATGAAATCACTTCTTAGGCCTTCTATTGCATTGTTTATAGAACAGAGGTATGCTGGTAAATGTTTAACAATCAGGCCTGGGGGAAGGAGGGAGAGGAACATATTCCTACGTACATACTTGTAAGTGTTTTTGTTTGTTGTTCAGTTGATTCAGTCATGTCCAATTCTTCATGACCCCATTTGAGGTTTTCTTGGCAAAGATACTGGAGTGGTTTGCCATTTCCTTCTCCAGCTCCTTTTTACAGATGAGAAAACTGAGGCAAACAGGGTTAAGTACATTGTCCAGGATCACACAGCTAGTAAGAGTCTGAGATTGGATTTGAACTCAGGTCTTCCTGATTCCAGACCCAGTGCTCTATCTACTGTGCTACCTAGCTGCTCATTTTGAGCAAGAGTATCTGCCTAATGCATAATTTCATTTCATTAAACCCAGGCCCTAGTAGTTGCAAATGAATACCTTTCAACAAAGTTGAAAGTTAAGTACAACCCATGCCTGAACTGAACCCCCAGAGCTGAATACAAACTTCAGGTGTGGTCTGGATAGACTGGCTGAATCAAAATGCAGACTCTGAGTGCTGGCATGTCATCCAGGTATAGAATAAGGAGGGACCAAGATTTGGGAGAGAGGTAAGGGTTGGAAATAAGGATGTCATTCTTACTGAGTTGATAGTTCAAGTTGTTTAAATGGATGAGAGTACCAACGAGAGTAATGAACAGAGAGCTAAGGAATGCTGTTGGTATAAGTCCATATTTAAGGAGTCCTTACAAGTTTCCAGGATATTTATCTTAGAAATGTGCAAATAAATCACCATGTAGCTGCATCTTGAATCCAAACAGTGATATATTTCAATAAAGACAACATCACTGTAAGGAATATGGCAATAGCCAAGTAGGGTCAGGCAGCCTACAGAGAGTGATTAGACATTTGCCTGGGTTTTGAGGAGCAGGCTGGGAATAGCTAAGGCCTACTGTTTCTGGAAACTGACCTGGCATTTGGGGATGTGATTGGCTTGCTTTTTGGGGCCATTCAACTTTACTACCAGCCCAGAACATTGGCATCCAAATATAGTATCAATGGGGGATCACATACTGATTACCCAAACTCTCCATTAGCATTTATTGAGTGCCAACTGTATGCCAGGCACTGTGCTAGATGCTGGTTTATAAAGACAAAATGAAACAGTCTTTACATTCAGGGAGTCCACCACCTTATTTATCACTGGACCTAGTGGATCTCTGCTTCGGCCAGATAATTTTCTCTATTCCTACCAAAGCTCATTTCTAATTTTTGGCAATGTAGTAATGATGATTGAGTCTTGGCTCCTACGCTTAGGGATCTGAAGTATTTTAAAAAAGGTTTTGAGAGCTAAGAGATAACTGCTGGAATTGAAGTTAGAAGCAGGAAATGGAGGGCATATTCTAAAGGAAAGGGAAGTAGGGATTGTCGGTCATTATAGTTAAGACTATATGAGAGAGAAGAATAGCACGTCTCCAGAGGTGACGTAAATAGGATTCTTACTGTGTGCCTGATCGGGGTGAGCTAGTCTGGTGCTCTGAAAATCATTCTATTCAGGTGTTCCTTGACTCAGTGTAGCAAAGGGGAATGAGCAGGCTCACTGCCAGTTGATGTCTCATTTGCCCACCAGTTTCTCAAAAGCCTTGTTTGCTTACTTTTCCTCTGATCATAGCTGTGCTCATGTGTATGCACTCCAATCTCAGATATTATTAAATTAACTTTAAAAATCAGCTATAGACTTACTTCACTTCATACCATGGATATTAGATTTAATATAACTCGAGGGAGTGAGCTTGCTTTTTTTTGTTTTATTATAAATATAGATGTAAATCCTGGAGAGATGCCCACCTTACACCTTGCTGGACTATTGAGGGGTCAGAGTTTATAGACAATGGCTCACTAGCACCTGGTCTTAGGGGAGGCAGGAGTACTTTCCTAGAAAGACATTAACATCACACTATGCCAGTGTCTGATTGGCCTAGGACTTTGAGGGAGAGCTTTCTAATAATTAGAGTGACCTGGAGGGATGTGAGCAGTAAGATGGTGGATTCCCTGTCAATTAAGAGTATGGGAACAGAAACACCATGAACACCTGTCAGCGATGTAGTAGAAAAGGATTTCTATATTGGAAGAGAAATTTCATTAGATGATCTTTGAGATCTCTTCCAACTCTTAAGAGTCTATGAAATTCAGCTGACAATAAACATTATTATAATGGAGAGCTCTATTTCCACACGAAAAGGACTTCCAAGATTTCCCCTTATTCCAAGCAGTAATGGATGCAATAAGATTCTGGGACAATGAAAGAATGCAGATAGTTTTTCAGGGTTACCGGGGACAGGATCTGATCTGTTCTAGAAAGATAAAGGTTTTAATTCATTCTGCAAATTCATTCAGAGCTCATATTTTGTATATCATTTTCATTACCTATGAAAATAGAATATTCTGGGAATATTACAATCTCAGAGTAGAGGCCCGCAAAATTCAGTCAGGGATTACTGATTGAGAAAACTCAGGGTACCATTGCCCTAGAGCCACTATCAGAATCCCTGTTCCTTTTGGGGCGGTTACTTTTTCTAGGGGCCCACTGATGCAGTTTGGTGAGTTCTATTATGCCAATAGGGTGCAAATCAATCTAGAGCTCACTGGGTCTCAGATTCACTATCTTTTTGCTTTTAAGATTTGATATTCATTTGTGTGTGTGAATTTAATGTTTTCTTTAATTAAGAACATAATCAAGTAGTGTCTTGTGATGAGCTCCCAAGTCTCAAACTAGTTATAGAAGGAGTTCTTAATCTTTTTTGTTTCAAGGACCCCATTTTGTAAAAGCTTACAGACTCCCTTCTCAGAATAATGGTTTTTAAACAATTGAAGGAAATGATACATTGCAGTTACAGGTTAGTGAAAATAAAGATGTAATTTTTTTCCCATCCAAGTTCACAGCCCTCTGAAATCTATAAATAGACATCTTGGGGGTCTGTGGACTTCAGGTTAAGAACCCTTGAGCTCAAATGCAGTCCTGAGAAACAGAATGAAAGAACTGGCTCCTTTTGGGGCCAAGAAATGGGGTATGGAGAAAAGGAATCTGGGAAATATCCGTAGCTGTTTTAATCCTCCTCCTCAACACACACATGCACACACATAGACACACACACACACACACACACACACACAAAACCCCCTTAAAAACTAAACCAATGAATTCCTGAGTATGGGTAGTGAGATTCTGGCAAGGAGAAGGCAGTCTTTGCTTTATGTTCTGCCCTTTGCATGGTTCTTGAGTCAGGAAGAATATAAATCAATAACCTAGATGGAGGTCATCTTCCAGGTAAAAAGGCCTGGCAATTTGCCTAGTGTTCCATATGGTAAGTGATGCCATTGGTGGGGAAGTAAGCTGCTATCCTCCAGAGATACTGCCTAGGGCCCTGGCTTCATGGGGATTTGCCTAGCCTTCTTTGTTATGGTCATCTAATGCTGTTCACATGTGACTTTGCAAGATACCCTGGGACTTTGTCCTTGTCCCCTGAGTTTGTCTCGTTTCTACCTCCTGACAAAGGAGGGAAGACCTCTTGATAGAAGGGAAGGGAAAATAGGTATTAAAAACTGGATGAGAGCCGAAGAAATTTAATTTGAGACATGAGGGATCCTTGGTGCAAAAAAAAGTTTGGAAACCACTGACCTAAATCCACCTTAAGTGTTGAGGAGCTGAAAGAGTAAAGCAAAAAGAGAAACAGGAACAGCTCAAAACCATAACTAGAGTCCAGACACACCTCCCCACTTTTTTTTTTTGAGCCTAAGATGCCCTCTGTGGTGCCCTAGGCTACGAAGTACATGTCTTCCCCGAACTTGCCTCCAGTGGGAGCCCGGCTCCAGCGGCAGGACGGAGGGATCATTACCTCTCTAGAACAGCTCCATGAAAAAATCAACGAGATGAGAGACGTGTTCAACTCGCTGGAGAACAAGGTAGACACCCATTTCTAATATGTGGGGTGGGCCGTGGGCTGGCCATTCAGAGAGGTATAGAGGCAGCAGAGAAGAAATATCAAGACCAGAATTATAGGGTTCTCAAGGATATAAGGGAGAGATTGAGAAAATGAAATAACACATGTAAAGCGCTTTGCAAATCTGAAAGCGCTATATAAATGCTATTACTATTTTCATTATTGTTATTGCTAGTAATAATAATAATGATGATGATAAGCCATCATGAGCTAAAAATCTTGAGAGTATGAGGGCTCTGGAGAGATTGTCTCAGGAGTTTAGCCAGGAAGAACGTGAATTTTTCATCCCAATACCTGGTGTCTATGAAGAATCTTGTTGAGAAATATTGCCACCAGGGTAACTGGTCCCTAATGGACACATTTACCGGGAATTTGAGATATGTACTGATACGTAAGACAAAATTTCTAAAGAAACAACATCAAAAAACCCCCATTATTAATAACCAATTCAGATTCTAGTGTGCCCATACTAGGGTAGCTAACATGAAATACAATTTAGATTATCATTCAGTTGGCGACATAGTGTTTTATCAATGAAGAAAAAGTCCTGTATCCCAGGCAGGCATGCTCCAAAGTTCCCATTTGCCTTGGGGTGGGAGTGGGGTGGGGGGAAGTATAGGGCCAGATAAGAACATTTTTTGACAGTGAAACCTGTTTTTGTCAGACAGTGGTTCTATAATGTTTTTTGGGCCAAGGATCCATTTGAGCTCCTGAGTAAATTTCAGAGATTTTTCCCTTAGACATATAAACATATTTATTTTGCTTTTAATGCTATACAGTAACTGTCCTGTTTTGTTTTGCTTTTTGCTTCAACAATGATTAAGCCCATACAATAAAAAATGCTGAACCAGAAACAGTTGATTTGATTTTGGTCCATCTTAAATAAAACAACCTTATCAGATTAACTTGCAATTTGCCATGCAGAAATCCACTACTAACATGGATGAAATAGTCAACTAAAACACAGTTTATTTCATCCATATATGTGTTTGGTTATTGTTTCCTGGTCCCTGTTATTTTCCTTGTCCTTCATGCCCTATGTACATGACAGGCCTCCCCCTCAGAATAACCTCTTTGGTTTTAATTTCTTATCCTGTACTAGCATTGCTTTCAGGGTCTAAGAATCCTTTCATGAATCCCAGTGGGCCATGAAGTCCTAGAGCATGTGTTGGGAAACATTGCTGTGGGAGAAGATAATAGTTGACATTTATATAGCACTTGAATGTTTACAACACACTTCATGCATTTTATTTCATTTGATCCTCACAACAATATTGGGTGGTACCAATGTGAATGTTATTATCCCTCTTTCTATAGATGAGAAAACTGAGATTTTGGGAGGCTAAGTCCAAAGTTCCACAGTTAGTAAGCAGAGAGCTAGGATTTGAACGCTAGGTCCCCAGGTCTTTGGGTACCATATCCGTCATTCTTTCCACTTCACCATGAAGTCATCCTACAGCAGGAAATGCCATTCCAAGTTGGCACCATTCATTTCACTTGTTTGGATTGTTCTTATTCCTCAAGGGTTTAGAAATACAGTGAATTCTGTTAAAGCTGAATGAACCCTTGCTCTTCTTCCCTTACACCAAAGGAAGTATTTGGTATATTTTGTATTAAAAAAGTTAGAAAATAGGTTAAACCTCCTAAAAAGTTCTTTTTAGAATGAGCATTCCTGCTGAAAGTACTCTTCTGTCCCATTGGTAAATTTCTTTCAATGCACATATTAAATGAATAAAATAAAGTGCCCCATTCCTTCAGATTTTTTTTTCCCTCTGATTTTACTGCTAAGCTTACAAGTCAAACTTGGAAACAAATGGCTATCACCACAGAACACCACATTTTCCCATAAAAGTTTGTAGAAGATTATCATCACCTTTTACTTCCATAAAAATTTGCTTCCAAAGGTATTTTTATGTCCTTTGCTTTCTAAAAACCCAAGTAAATTGAAAATGCATGATTCTCAGTTATTCCTAGCCATTTAGCTAGAAATTGGCTATTCTCATCCAGTGATTCAATTTGGGGTATTTCTCCCATCCTGCTCCTTTTTACCATAAAATCATAGAATAAGAGCTGGAAGGGGCTTCAGAGGTCCTAGTCCAATCCCCTCATTTTATAGGGGAGGAAACAGCCCTAGAGAAGAGATTAGAACCTAGTTCCCCTGGCTATACATCAAACACTCTTTCCACTGCACCATGAGTGATAACATCAGAGTACATTTCCTTTGTAAGAAAACCCTTAAGAACAGTCACCTATTTAATTTTTCAAAGCTTCATTAAAAATTATTATGAACTTAGTAAACATCAACATTTTAACATATATGAACATTTCCATATACAAAGAAGAGCAGGGAAAAAAAAACACTTTACTTCTATCCTGCATGCTAACTAGTAGCACATTTTCAAATCTATTCTCTGTGCATTTCACACAAAAAGTGCATCAGGTATTCTTCCTCCAACGTCAGTGCAATTTTTCTGTGAGCTTTTTTTTAAATATACATAATTGGCGATTAGGAGAAGCTTAAACTCCTTTCTGTCCTACCATGTATTAAGTTGGCTTGCGAGTTGCAGCATGCACACTATGGAGCCAAGTCAATGAAGCCAAGATTACCTCTAGCCATCCAAACTTTAGTTAATAAGGACCAGCTAAGATCTAGTGGACTTTTCATTTTTAGAAAGATATACAGTATACTAGGAATTGACATTAAGGATTGCAAATTTATTATGGTCTTTACAGTACCATGAGTGCATCAGCAGGACTGGAAGGATAACCATTTGTATTTGCAATGTATACCATATACTTTTTTCCCTTATAACAAATCACCCAAATAATTCATCAGTTCAGATAATCAGGGATTTTCCTGCTTCTTAGATGGATATCTTTTGCTACGTTATAGACTTTTTAGACTTACATTTGCTTTTGATTTTCAATATTCTCAAGTTTTAAAATGAAGGGATACATGCTCAAGACATAGCAAAGAAGGTAGGTCTGGCCATTTTTTCTACTTGCTTTAAAAAAAAAAAAGGGTCTGTCCCACGCTGTGATATTTCAGTCTCATGTGCCTGTGACATTAACATGATCTAAAGAGAGAAACCAGTGCCAAGTTCTAGGATTCTATGTTTAATTCAAGACCTGAGGGGAAACACCTCCAGATATGTAGGTGTATAGACCATTTCTAATAGCCTCCAGATCTTTTAGGTCTTATGAGACTTTATTATAGAACTTGGTCAGAAAGAGTAATAACTAGGGTGTCCATGATTTCAATCTGCATATGGTAAAAGCATAAACGAAGTAGAAAACTACTATATTTGTAAAAGGGCGCTCTTTTTTGGGACTCATTCTTCTTTCTCTCTACCCCAAATCCTTTTCCTTTAGTTTACTGTTTTAATGATTTATAGATTGCCAGGAATCCCACACTTGCTTGCTTGCCCTGTTGAAGGAAAATTCAGGAGCTGTATTTATATATAATTTGTTAATGATTTAGTTGCAGGCATTGGCCTCGGAGCTCAAAACTGGTTTCACAGAGGCAATGCAAGAGCTTTCCAGAATTCAACATGGAGAGTATGCTTTGGAAGAGAAAGTTAAGAGCTGCCGATGCACGATGGAGGAAAGAGTGTCAGAGATGAAGAATTCGTTGAATTATTTCAAGGTAGACATGGTTTTAATTTTCTCTGCTGGGCTGTTTTTTGGTCTTGGTAATGCAGATAGAGAATTTACCTTTCCTAGTGGTCTTCTAGATAAGAGGCTGGTCACCTTTGGAGTTCTGACACCAGGGGCTGTGATAGAAATAAATGTCTCTTCCTGGGGTTAGGATGCACTTTTACTCAATGTACCATTTTAAGTTTATGCTTACTCTCTTCTTTTAGGAAGAGCTTAGCAATGCCATGTCAATGATCCAAGCCATTACCACCAAACAGGAAGAAATGCAACAGAAAATTGAGCAACTTCAGCAGGAAAAGAGAAGAGAGTCTCGCAAAGTGAAAACCAAGTAAGTGCATTGCGGGGAAAGGTGCCAAGTGCTAAGGTCAGATCTACAAAGCACTAGGTACTTTAGTCTAATCCAACAAATGTTTAAAAATGTTTTCTACATCAAAGACACTTTTTATGGTCTGGGCATCAACCTCTTTATTTTTGAGATCAGAAAAGTGAGTCCCAGAGAGGTCAAGTGAAGTATCTAAGGTCATAGGTAAAGGCATGATAAAAAAGTGATGGAGGACGTCAACTTGCCAAACATCTACTGTCACTCTCTCTATCAAAGCAAAGTAGTTAATACTTTCTTAATTTGCTTTAATGATAATTTTATTCCTCAAAAAATGAAGGAACCACAAAGGGGAACTTATATCATAAATCTGATTCCACAAATGAAGAGAAACTATTTGCTGGAATGGGAATAATGGAAACTGTGAGAGAGGTGTATGCTCCTCTGTATTTCCCACCCTGTCTTGGATTTTGTGATAGAGGAGAAGCACAGTCTGACATTCACACCAGAGTTGGGAGAGCAGATTTATAAGGCTTTGAAGAAAGGATAGGTAGTGTCCCATAGCCTTCTAACTGGGAAGTCATACCAGAAGGAAAGGGAAAGCTCTTAAGAATTAAATTCAGAAAGTATAAATAGTTCTGAAGAGGAAGAAAAGGAGGAATTGTCTAAAGAAAACAATGTGGTTACACAGGGAACTCCTTGACTGCAGTAGATTTTGAAAAAAAGTGTACAAAAGATGAAAATGAGGGCAGGTCATGGAGAATGAATACAAAGGCAGCATTTTCCATGTACATGTATACCTATAAGAATGGTGAAAGAGAGAGGGTGAGGTTAAGCTGATGAGGAAAACTAAGGGTAACAAAACATTTTTAAAAGCAACATTGGGGAAAAGAGGAAGATGAAAGAAAGAGAATTGCTTCTTGGGATGGATGAAGTGCTAGAAATAGATGATTTGCAGAGGGCAGAATTTGAATTTTGGTTTTGCTTTCTTTGCCAATGAGAATGATCTTTTGTCATCTAATAGGAAGTTGAAACCTAAGATAAGGAGGAAAGATAGTAAGAAGCACCCAAATGAGCAAGTGGGTTGGGACTCTGTCCCCAGTCCATCATCACTACTATTAAAAGAAAGAAGTAAATAAGTATTTATTAAGCACCTCCTATGTTCCAGGTACTTTTCCCTGATATTGGGAGTAACCGAAAGGGTAACCAATGTTGTAACTAAGAGTTGATCTCTGGAAAATGGAAGTATTTTTCTTTCATGACATTTTTATTTTATAGGGGCAGAGGGAAATAGTCTAATCTGCCAGCCCCCCAAAGATGTTAACATTGGTACTGGTTTCATCATTCTTTCCTTATCTAGAAAAACACAAAAGGAAGAACATGTGCCACCAGCTGGAGCCGCACCTACCCAAGGTAGTCCTTTCCGCTCAATCAATATCCCTGAACCTGTTTTGACAAGTGAAGATTTTACAAATATTTTGCCAACTCAGGCCTATGAGAAAGGTACAGTTTGCAATCAGACGGAATTCTCTGAGTGGTTTTGGGGTTTTTTTTGCACATATGTTTTTGGTGATTGGGAGAAATGGACGAATTCTCTCCATCTCTATTACTCTAGCAGAAATACATTGCAGAAATTTTCCCCTCATGTCACTGAAATGGAAAAAAGCATCGGGGAATCTAAAAGCCTACAATACCTTGCCTAATTTGAGCTTTGCCTTTTTGGAAAAAAAAAACATGACTTGAATATTTCTAAATTAGCAAGATGACAACTTCATAAATAAGAAAAAGTCACATCTGACCAAAGGAGCAGGCTAAGATCTCTTATATGGGTTCAGCTAACTAAAAAAAAACTTTTATAAACCTGCACATTTTCACAAGTAGGGAAGTGTGACAAAACAAAAATTGCCTGAAAAAGGTCCTGAAGCTTTAGAGGACTCCAAGTGTGATGTGGCTGCCAAGCAAGTGATTTGATCTTTGCAGCCCTAAGAGAGACATGACTCTCAGGATGAGGCAGCTGATAGACCTGCTGGATTTCGGTCTGATCAGACTACATCTGGAGTGTTGTTGACTTGTCGTTCAGTTGTGTTTGACTTCTTGTGTACCAATTTGGGGTTTTCTTGGCAAAGATACTGGAGTGGTTTGCCATTTCCTCCTCCAGTTCATTTTCCTGATGAGGAAACTGAGGCAAACAGGGTTAAGTGACTTGCTGAGCTAGTAAGTGCTAGAAGTCAGATTTGAACTCAGGAGGATGAGTTTTCCTTACTCTATGTCCTTACCCTATTCACTGCACCACCTAGATGTATTCAGAGTACCATGCTCAATTCTGTGCACCATTTTTTAGGGAGGACCATTCATAAACTAGGGAGTATTTAGAGGAAGGTAACCCAGAAAAGTTGAAAGGCCTCAAATTCATATGCCACATGAGGCTCCATTAAAGGAACTGAAGAAGTTTAGCTGGGAGAAAACAGGTCTTAGAACTTAGAACCCAGGAGAACATGACACTTTCCTCAAGTAAATGAAGAGCTCTCATGTGGAAGTGACATAAGATGTATTCTGCTTGGTTTCAGTTGGCAGAACAAGAGCGGAACTTGTAGAGACAAAATGTGACTTCATATAAAGAAAAACTAACATTTCATGCTATCTAAGAGTAGAGTTGTTTGCTTTAGGAGGTGGTGAATCTGCCCTCCCTGGAAATCTTCAAAAAAATTTTTTTGGGGAAATTCATATAAATGACCTCAGAGATCCCTTCCAAACCAAATATTCTGTGGATTCATTGTATGCAAATATATCTAGAACTATGTCATGGCTGCTCCTATTGGTTCAATCATGGAGTTCAAATATAATAAGCTAACAATGCTAAAGAGGTAGGCATTAGAATATAGCCCTGACATTGTCCATAGCACTAGGAAAAACAAAAACAAAAAAAGTCTTGTAAGAGAAGTCCAAAGTTTTAGTCTTGTGAATAGGGGTTAAGTCAGCAAAATAAATAAGTTAATTAGTCAATATCAGTTAAACAGATTTTTTTGTATGTCTTGTAGCTTAAAAAAAATTATTTGACCAAATGTTCTACCTTTTTTTCTGTTATGTTGGTTTTACATGGACACGATCACTGAAAGACTAAAGTTAGAACATTTTCAACTGGATTATAGACTATCCATAAGGTATTAGGACAGAAGCTCCTCTTTCCTTTGTGTGCCTTAGTCAAGTACAGTGCCATGTGTGCAGTTGGTGATAGACAACTGCTAGTTTACTACATCAGCATCTGAAGGGCCTGGAATTTTGTTGGCATGAGCACTACCATGATTAATGCAGATTGCAATTCCTCTATAACTTAGTAGATGCTTTGATTGCTTTGGATAAACAATTCGTGATATTGTGGCCATCCTGGTAACCCACCTCTTTAAAGTGAGGTAGTCTGGTCCTCAGACAATAGACATATTCAATCATCCTTGGGCACAGACTACAAGCTTTTACATCTTGGTGTGGGACCTGCCAAAGCTTATATTTCACTAGTATAGCCTTCAGGGTCTTTGGATCACTTTTATACCACAATGAGGCATTAGGGTAGAACAGTAGTTGAGGCACATTGAATAAGCTAAGAAAAATTTAGCCAAAATCATTGATCTGACTGATTTTTTTTTCACTATATTAATCAATTCTGTAAGTGGCATATAGATTTAGTCTAGGACTTGTTCAACCCATCCAGACAAATCAACATGTCCAAGGCCCACATGAAAATCAGACATCAACTCTACAGAAAATAGACTTTGTTTTGTTGAAAACAAAACCAAAACCAAGCCATGAAATGTACCTCTTATCACTTTATCTTCATTTAAGTTTTATGGGAAATTTGAAAATTCTGAGCGTGTATGTATGATAAATATTTGTGGTCTTTTCACCTAGTGTTATGGGAAGCAGAAGAGGAGGATGGTCAGGTTGGGAAAAAAGAAAGGATGGACATAGCAAATTGAAATCAAGCCAATGAAAATTTTTATGGGTTGATTAGTATCTTTATGGGGTAGCTAGTTGGTGCAGTGGATAGAGTGGATATTCAGCCTGGAGTCAAGAAGACTCATCTTCCTGCCTCCAGACCTGGTGCTCTGGATAATTGTCAACTAGATTTAAATTTAAGGTCTCAGAACAAAAATTTCAGAAAGGGCCTCCATTACTGAAAAAATTTCCCTTCTTACACATGCTGGCTCAAGAGAATGAAAAATTTCTTTTTTTTCTTCACAGTCCCAGAATCCAGACCAGTTCATGCAGGAGACAGTAATGTGAAAGGAATCATGAGTCCTGGTGAGCATAAAACTTTAAATTTTAAAAAATCAGTGTCTTCGGTTTTTATATTACCTTGCTTTCCAAATACATCCCATTTCTTTCCCTTGCCTAGATGGGTGTCCCCTGTAGCAAATAGTAAAAGTGAGAAAAAATAGTTCAGCAAAACTGAACAATACATCAACTAAGTCAGATAACCTATGCAGTGTTCTTCTCCAGGATCTCCCAATAGGTCACAGGTCAAGCCCCAATTGGTCATTGTTTGGACCCTGCTTGGCTCAGAGTGAGTGTAATAGCAATTGTATCTATTTGGGCCAGAAATCCTGAGGGTCTTTCCCTCCCAGATTGATTGATTTTTTTGTTCTTTTTTTTTGACTGGGTAAAGAGGCCATTCTCTGCCTTGTTTCTTACCTAGCCTTAATCATTGAATGGGCATTCCTTCAGTCATACTGAGACCTATTAAAGACCTTAACTTGAAAAGGCCAACATCTCCCACTACATCCAGGGCCATCTCCAGTTGTCCTGATCTATATCTCGCCACTGGACTCTGTTGGCTAGGGAGGAGAAAGTGAGGCTGATGACTTTGCACAGCCCTCCCTTACTTAAATCCACTTCACTTGCATGTCATGGCATCACCTCCCTATTGCAAGAGGGCCAAGGGCAGTGCAAACAATAAATGAACATTTATTGAGAAGCCAGAAACCAGAGTGTATGCAATGCAGCAATCAGTTTTCATTGGGCTAAATACATTTTTCAGCAGAATATTAGAATTGACAATCTATTGTTAGTTGAATGTGTCACCCTCCCTTCTAGGTGTATTTTCAGTTTATAGGAGGAAACCAACGCAAAGGAATGAATGATGGAATTCTAGAAATTGTAGTATCTAGGTCAGGGAGTTATTTTGAGGTAGGGATCTTCCCAATGTTCCTTCCCTACCCCCTAATACTATGCCTGTATTTATATGAGGCTGGTTATGATTACAACTTTTAAATCCTAATAATGGTTATACTACCTTATCTTCATTTCTGTCACTGAGCTTAGGACAGTGCATGGCAAATAGTAGATGCTTAATAAATGCTTGCTGTTTGAATGACTCTTATTGTAATCATCCTATTTCAGGCTCTCATTATTTATCTTTTTTTTGATAAAAATTTTTTTATTCTGGATTGAACACCAAAAAAGTACATTTCATAAGAAGGAAGAACACAGAAAGAAGTTTCTTTATGAAACTTTGAACCTCAATTTCCTGCCACTTGATTTTTAAAAAAGTATATAAAAGGGGGCAGGTAGGTGGTGCAGTGGATAGAGCACTGGCCCTGGAGTCAGGAGGACCTGAGTTCAAATCTGACCTCAGACACATAAAACTTGCTAGTTGTGTGATTCTGGGGCAAGTCACTTAACTCCAACTGCCTCGCAAAACAAAACAACACAAAAAGTGTATAATAAATTCTACCCATTACTTTCAAAATTGTCCTGCTCCTACTTCTATCTGAAGTCCTTCTGTTCTCTGCTGTGCATTAAAAAATATCGCAATGGTCCTCTTTTTGGGGGGCTGGTAATTGCTAAGCCCACCTTATAGTCCTGACCCTCCTTTCCCATTAAAAAAACAAAGAAAAAAAGGAGAAAAAAATCTTTTAACAAATACATTACTTAAGCAAAACAAATCACCAGTGTCCGTTTCTGAAAATGTATGTTTCTGTACCTTGTGTCCATCACCTCTGTGTCAGGAGATGTGTAGCATCTTTTTTATAGGTCCTTGGGAGACATGGATGGGCATTGCATTGATCATGACACAACCTTCTCCTGGTTCTCCTCCCTGTCTATCTCCTTTGCTGGTTCATCATCCATATCTTGCTTCCTAATTGTAGGTGTTCCTCAAGTATCTTCCCTGGGACTTTTATCTTTTCTCTCTACATGATCCCTCTTGTTTATCTCCTTAGATCCCATGGGTTTAATTTCTATGCAGATGACTCAGAATTATACATATCCAGCCCCAGTCTCTCCCCTGAGCTTTAGTCCCACATCACCAGTTGCCTATTGGACTTGTCAAACTCTATTTGACTCTTTTGACCATCCTCTCCCCCCTAGTACTCTTTCCCATTTGGGTTTTCATGACATTACTCTCTCACTTTGTTCTCCTCCTGTCTGTCTGACTGTTTCTTCTCAGTCCCCTTCTCTGGATCACCACGATCTCACACATTCTGCATGTTCACCCCAAGGCTTTGTCTTAGATGCTTTTCTTTTCTCTCTATAATCTCTCATCTGGTGACCCAATAAGCTTCCATAGATTTAATTATCATCTCTATTAAGATGATTCTCAACTTTGTATGTTCAGCCTAGTCTCTTTCCTGAGCTTCAATCCCACATCTTAAAAGACCTACTGGACATTTTTAAATGGGTTTTCTATAGACATCTCAAACTCAACATACCTAAAGCAGAGCTTAGACTATTGCAATAATCTCCTAATTGGTTTCCCTGCCTCAAATCTCTCCCCACTCCAATCCATGCTCTGTGCAGCTGCCAGAGTGATTTTCCTAATATTTAGATCTGATCATGTTAGTCTTCTACCCAATAAACTCTAGTACCTTCCTATTACTTCTAAGAGCAAACACAAACTCCTCTGTTTTGCCATTTATAATCTTTCAAAACTTAGCCTTAACCTACCTTTCCAGACTTACTCCCTTTCACATTCCCTATGGTGCAGTCAATTTTGCCTTCATACTAAATATGGTATCTTCATATTAAATAGAGCACTTCATTTTCTGTCCTATTCCTTTGCACTGACTATTCCTTTGCCTAGAAGCACCTTGTTCTCACCTTTACTTTTTAGAAGTCCTAGTCTCAAGGATCAAATATCTCCTCCTAATGAGGCCTTCCCCAATGCCCACCCAGCTCCTTATGACCTATCCCTCCAAAGCTCTTTATATTTCTCTTGTATGCAGGGTCCTAATTTAGACTTTGGATATATAGACAGACCTGTCTATGCATGTACATGTCTTTCCTGATGGAATGGAGTTCCTTGAGGACAGGTAACTTTGTGTCTAGCACTGTACCTAGCACATAGCAGGCATTTAATAAATGTTTGTTGATTAATTGATACAATATGAAAGATCTGATGCTCGAATGGAATATTTTGTAATATCCAAGTGTGTCCTAAGGGGATTGGAACAGAAATGCCCTTTAAGAAAGGTCAAGTCTCAACACAGCTTCTGTTTTTCAGGAGTGAATGCAGCAACTCCTGAGGCAGAAGAAAACCTCAAGTCCTGCTTATCTGCTGATGTTCAGACCAAGGGTCCCCTGACCTCTGGGCTGTGGAGACAGCCCAAGGACAGTAAGGAATGGAGTGAGGAGTATGGATCCAAGGATCACCCAGATAAACTGAAGGAAGCAGCCCAAGGCAGGCACAGCTCCTTAGAGAACGTTTTATGTGAGACATCTTTATCTGGTAAGTCTCACGTGTAATGCAGGATGAAAAACAATCTTAAAAGGCAGGCTATACCCTGGCCACAATTCTAGATAAATTCCATACTTCTTGGACCCTGATCACCTCGGGAGAATTGAGCAACTCTGTCTGACTTCTATTGTTTGATACTGAATAGGATCCTCTTGGACTTGTAGCATATAGATGAGGATGCTTTGTCATACTAGTTTCCCTTCAAGCCCTGAGTGAAGTTTGCATTACCCTATTAAACATTCAGTCCATATTATTCAATTAAACTCATAGTATTTGTTGAGTTCCTGATATATTCAAGACATTGCTTGGAGGAAAGAGACTTTTTTACTGAAAATAAATAAATGATGAACAATCATATCTAGCTTGTATCTTCCAATTTCTGTTAATCTAGTGATTGATTACAAACTCCTACACAATTATTCATAGCAGCACTATGGATTCTGATTATAGCAGTTCTTAAGAGTACTGGTATGAATTCCCTTTGGACTTGTCCCTATCCATTTGCTAAGCAAATCATTTCTCTGTTGTTGCAGTCCATTGTCAGCCTCCCTCGCCAACTTCTCTTGTCTTGACAGATTAGTTTGACTTACATACTTCTTCAGTACTTGGAGAGTCCATGATTTCATCAGCAAGGCTATTCCTTCCACTGATGTGAATTGTAACCTTTTTATGTTTTTGTAGATGGTCTTCAAGTGGTGAGGGCTGAAAAAATAATCACAACAGATATATAATCAGTTCCCTCAGTTTCTTCGTCTGTAAAATGAGGGGGTTAGACTAGATGACTTCTACAATTCTTTCCAACTTTAAATATATTAGCCAACGATTCTGTGACCTGGACCATACTTGAAGTCTTTTTGTCTCAGGAGAACTCAACAATTCCATGCTCTGCAGACATAGAACCCAAGGTCACCTTCACACCATGATGAAATAATTGCATAACACTTTAGTAGAAGATGACCTAGTTTAAGCTTAACCTTCTTGATCTGGGACCATGTTTTCTTTCATGCTTCCTTATCCTTCATGCTGGTAGTACCATTGATGGGTTCCTTTCCTTCGCAATTAATAGGAATTGATGAGTTGAAATGTATCTTTGAAACCATCTGCCCCAACCCCACAAATTTTACAGTTGGAAGAATAGAATACAGAGGAGAGTGACTTGCTCATGGTTACATGACTAATGAGTGGCAGAAATGGAATGTATGTCACATGGATTCTGTTATATTATATTATTATATTTTGTATTATTATATTTAAAAGTATTACACAACTCCAGAATGAGAAGTAGTGCCTTCCTAAGAGAAGGTGTGGGGAAAAGTCAACTTGTCTCTGAATTTGCAAAAGACTTGTAGAGAAATATAGAGAAGCTTATGAAAACTGAGTAGAAATACTTTAGTGGAAGTTTGCGTTGTCTTGTTAAGAAGAAATATTAAAGCGGAAGAATAAAGCATCATGCTCTTGGGTATAAAATTCTCTGGGGCAGCAGATATACTGAAGTACATAAGCTTTAGGAAAGAAACTTGCTAGGAGGTTAAAATACACTATAGAGAAGAGGAGGGAGAAATAAGAAAGTAATAAACATTTTAGTTCATAAGAAACTGAAATACAATGAATTTAAAGTTTGTGTTTTGCTTAAAGGAAAAAATTTGAATATGTTTGTATGTAAATACCTTTTATTTAAAAAACATAAAATCTTCATTTTTAGCATTAAAAATTATTCAAAATTATCTGTCTTGGATGATTTAGTTATTCATTTAACTATTTGGATCTTTGTACTAGATTGTGAAACCCTTGAGAATAACTTTTTTAAAAGTGTTATCTCTTTTTATTATAAAATAACCAAAACTAACAAATATGAACATTTCAATATACAAAGAACTGGAAAAAAGGATTGTATGTGAAATAGTGAACTTCTGTTATGAACAGTTTTTAAAAAGTACATACCAAATTGAACAGTGTAGTAACATAATTACCTGGTCTGTTTTCCTTTCTGAACCTCCTTTGTTCCTTCCTGTATATTTAAAAATATTTTATTGGTGTTTATTCTTTCTCTTTTTTTTTTGCATCTAATTTATAACTACCCACCAACTTTCTTCCCAGCCCACAGAAAATTTCCCTTGTAACAATTATAATCAAGAAAAACAAGTTACTCCATTGGCTATGACTGGAAATGTATACCTCATTCTGCATCTCCGGTTCATCACCTCTCTGCCAAGAGGCAGATAATAGTTTCTTCATTGTGGTTTCCTCCTCAAGTCCTACCAGAGGATCTTCTACATAGCAGAAACTCCTTAAATTTCGATTTTGCTACAATACTCCAAAATGTTAAGGAAAAGTTTGCAAATACTGTGCTTTTGCTTTATAGATGACCAAGTAAATAAGTATCTTTAAGCTCCAAGGGATGATTTATTGGCCTAAAATAAAACTTCAACTTTTCTCTCATAGTTTCACATACTACAGACAGGGATACAACTCACTTGGTTAAAGAAGGTGTGTTGAATTTTTGTTGGTAGTCCCAGTACAGATAAGAATTCACAGATGTTCCAAGCCTCTCAATTGGCCACAGGTTTTAGGTATTACAGTCACTTCTATAGTAGTTTCCAGTAAGCAGTAAAATTGGCTTCATTTCTCATCATCTTTTCCTTCCCCTCTTTCCTGTAGAAAGACTGAAGAGGAGACACGTGGTTTATACATAGGTAGTAGGAAGGGCTCCCTTTAAAGGCATCTTAAGTGCATAATACAACTCTGAATGAGTTTAGATTAAGCACAATCTGAAATTGTCTGCCACAGAATCACAAAATTAAACACTGTTAGGCCTAGAAGAGATCAAAGATAAATCATTTAATCCTATTCTTTCATTTTATAGATGAAGAAACTGAAAACCTCCAAGAGGTTGAGTGATTTGCCATAGGTCACATGACTGGTTAGGGGCAAATCTAGACTAAGTACTTGATACAAAAATGAATAGTTTTATAGTACTATGATAATACAAAATAATTAGGTTGATGGGTACTCAATACAAACTTCTGTGAATTCTTCTGTCAGTGAGGTAGTTTTTATTATCTCAACTTGTCAGCAATAGACTAACCCCTAAATATCAAGTTACAACATTCTGATTTTTTTCTAACTGTTTTATTTGGGTTAATTTTAAAAGCCAAAAGACAAACTGTGGCTCTGGAGCTGCTTGAATCTGAACGAAAATATGTCATCAATATATCCCTGGTCCTGAAGATCAAAGCAACGTTCCAGGGATCTGATGGGAAGAGGAGTACCAAGGAGAGAAGGTATCCTTCTTGACTTTGTCTTTCAAGCAATGTAAGAGTTGATTTGCCTGAGCTATCCAAGTTATGTGATTCTAGAGCAAGTGGCAATGGCAGCATAATATCCTCTTGCCTATAGCCTGCCTCAAGACCAAGCTTGCAATGGGTCAATAAAACTAGTCTTCTGGGTCTTCTTCAGCCTTGGCCTGTATCATGAACTTGAAGGGAATGATCAATGCATCTGGCTGGGAATCATGTTGTTTTTCACCTTGCAAACTACATGCCTGTTGTAAGGTCTAGATTATTTTTTCCTCTTGGAATATGGAGTGGCACTAGATCACTATTGGGTGCCCCATGATTGTTTGCAGGTAGTAGGAAGGGACTTCCTAGACCTATGATTTCATTTGTATAGGGAATGCTGGGTATGTGAATGTTCTCTCCAACACTGCTGCTTACAAAAGGCTGTTAAAACTCAGGCCTCTAATGTTTCTTATTATCCATTCCAATGGCACCACAGCAGTGGGAAACGTGTGTGTGTTTGGTGCAGGAGGGTACATGTGCTCAGTCAGTGATGAAGTCAAGTGAAACCAGAAGAACCAGGCGTCTGCTGCCACAACCCAAGCTATGGAAATATGTAAATCTTTGGTTGGCCCGTGAATGGGAAATAGAGCTTTGTGGAGGTCTTGAAAATGCCATACTTTCATTTTTGTCTTTGCCCGATAGCCAGCATGGTGTCTTACACTTATCAGGGCATAATAAACATTTGTTGAATTAAATAGATCATTGCAGACTGAAAGCTATGGCCTCAGATACGAACAGATGTCTTCTAACAGTTGGGCTGCAAGATAAATGTGAAGTCAGTGGCAGCTAATAGCCGACAAGGGGTCCTGTAACAGCTTCTCGCTGTGTCTCTATTTTAATTCAATGGAGGTGATAGGCCATAAAGCACCACTAGGTGTCACATGTTTAAACACTTTCTCTTGCAGAGCCTGGGTAGTAATCTCGACTGTGGCAATGTGAGGTTTTTTTTTAGTGACTGGAGGTGATATTCATATTAATGAGATTACCGATTCATTGCAGATAGCCATTAGAGCAGACTGGAATCTATTCCTAAATGTTGTGGCCCTTAATATTGTGATAGCCTTCTACTGTCAAGTGCCAGGATTTTAAGTTTGAGCCATAGCTGGTGATGATTTTTTTTTAAGTTCACCCACGCTCCTATTTAGGTCTTTTATTTGAGTTCTGGGGAATACTGTCAGAGCTAGCCTTTGATAAAGTAGTAAAATAGTTTATATATTTTTTGGTGCTCCTCCCTTTATTGGCTGTTTTTACCCTCCTACCCTACCTGCAAGACGTCACCAAAGTGCTAATTTACCACAGACAATGGTGTCAAACAGACTGTAGTTTGCTGACTCTTATTCGTGTCCTTCTCTTCTCAAGTCCCTGGTCCCTTCACTCTTCCACTCCTCTCTGTCTCTGTCTGTCTGTCTGCCTGCCTGCCTGTCTCTCTTCTTCCTTGCCCCTCAGCCCTCTCTTTCTTCATAGAAATGTGTGAGATAGAAAGATGCACAGAGGACAAGACGTGAATTTCTGCGTAGATCAGAGTAGATTCTTTTCATAATACTCACCTTAGAAGGCAAATGAAAGAAAAAAGAAAATCTTACATTCAATAAGTTTTTTTTTTAGTTTCCAGCTTTAAATACATTTTTCAACCTCCTCAAAGTAACTACCTTCAACCTAACCATTAAGAATTACCTATAGGGTAGTACAACTGTGGGTATGGTCTCAGTACTATCACCAGATAAATATGCAGAAAGAAGAAAAGTGGCTTTAATAATCAATTTTGCAAAGTTTAAGATTTGTTTTTAGATTTTCCACAGAATTTCCACAGTGAGTAGAGTTATGCGTTCAGCTATCTTCCTTACAGATCCATCAACGATAGCCGCAGAGCAGAACTGGAATCTATTCCCAAGTGTTGTGGCCCAGCGTTAGACTGCCAAGATTTTAAGTCTGAGCCAGAACTAGTGATCATTTTTTTTTTAGTTCATCCATGCCCCTATTTAGACCTTTTATTTGAGTTCTGGGGAACACTGCTGGAGATAGCCTTTGGTAAAGCACTTCACATACCTTATGTCATTTGGGCCTCACAACAACCATATAAAGAGGGTATTACAGATATTTCCCCTGCTTTACAGATGAGAAAATCATGACATAGTCACTTGCTTGTGGTCAAGAAGATAACACATAGCAAAGGTGGGCTTTGAACCTCCAGTTCCCGATTCTATCCACTTTCATTTCACCTGAAGAAATGAGAAATTCTGAACACTTATGAAAGGTTAGTCAGGCAGCAGGCTTTAAGACCAAATAACATTTGTCCAGAAAGTTCTTTATGAAGGAGCTTTCCTACAGCTTCAGAAATCTGTGATGGCTTAGGATCAGGGAATATTTCTTTCAGAACAGGGAATGGTCCACACTTCTTATATTCCTATTGATTCTGTCCCATTCAGTACTTAGTTTGTATAATCATGTCTTTCTACTCTGTTTCTAGTCTTTTCCCAGGTTCCTTGAGGTACCTTGTCCAGCAACATTTGGATTTACTTCATGCACTGCAAGAAAGGGTCCTGAAATGGCCTCGACAAGGAGTCCTGGGGGATTTATTCCTTAAATTGACAAATGATGAAGTAAGTTTGGTTATTGACCACTGGAATATTTGGATCACTGCCTTTTATTAATTTGTTTCACTTAGGCAATAGATAATTTGAATCATGGAATCATAATGGTAGGTAGGACCCCCAGAAACCACCCAGTTCAACCATCTCACTTTACAGATGAGGAAATAGAAGTGACTATCATAAGGTTTTACAATTAGTAATGGAGTAAGAATGAGGACTCAAGTTTCCTGACTGCTAGTCTAGTATTATTTCTATTTTGTCACTCTGCCACCACTTAATACGTATTCTAATTTTATGCCCCAGAGATCTTTAAAAATAGGTTGGATGGCCATCCTGTTGGGTGGCTTCTGTTTTCCTACTGAGAGGCAAGAGGCAAAATAAGATGACTTCTTGACGTTCTTTTGATAGCTACAAATAGGGCAGTAAGCTTGACTTCAATTACTGACAAAATTCTAATACGTATTCTTTTTTTGTTTGTTTTTTTCTAATATGTATTCTTAAAGGGGTGATTCATCAGTATTTAGAAAAGGAAGCAGTGATCATACAGAATCAGCTTAGCTTCATTAAGAACCAGTAATACAAGATTAGTCTTTTTTCTTCAGTTATAAATATATTTTACCTAGATTTTAGCAAAACTATTCACAAAGTCTCTTATGCTATTTTTGTAGGTGAAATGGAGATACATAAATTGGATAATTGCATAATTATGTTAAGTCAGAACTGGTTAAAAGGGCAAAACTTAAACAGTAGCCATTAATGGTTTGACGTCAAGTGGAAAGCGGTCTCTAGTGGAGTATACTAGGGATCTAAGACTGATTCTCTATTTAACATTTTATCAACACCTTGGAGAAAAGGCATAAGTAGCATGTTAATCACATTTACAGATGACACAAAGCTATAAGGGATAGCTAGATCTTGGATGACGAGTTAGGATCCAAAAATATCTTCATGGGCTAAAACGTTAGGCTGTAACCTATGAGATAAAATTTAAAAGGAATAAATGTAAACTCATACTTGGGTTCAAATAAATCATTTTTGCAAATACAGGATAGGAGAAACTTGTCCAGATAGCAGCACAAGGAGTTTTAAGAATCCAGAGGCTTTAGTGATCTACAAAAGTGGTCACAAACTCAAATAGAAAGGGAGGGCCACGAAACTACAGATAATGATCCCTACAGGCTACATACTGCCTTAGAAGCCAATATAGCATTATTACACATGTATAAACTATATCAAATTGCTTACTGCCTTAGCAAAGGGAAGGGAGAGAGGGAGAGAATTTGGAACTCAAATTTTAAAAAAAATGTTAAAAATTATCTTTGTATGCAATAGGGAGAAAATAAAATATTATTAAAAAAAGGAAAACCATATATGCATATTATCTATGTTTTATTTTGTTTTAATCTATTTTGTAAAGTGTTTCCCAATTATATTTTTATCAGGTTCAAGCTGCACTCAAAAGTGTTGTAGGTTGCTGTTTGACACCTCTAGTCTACAAGCTCAATATGAGTCACAGTGTGATACACACACGCACACACACACACACACAATACATATATGTATATATGTGTGTGTATATATACATATATATACATATATACACACATACGTACATATATGTATATATATGTGTGTATATATACACACACACACACATATATACATATATATATATATACACACACACACACACACACACATATATATATATATATATATATGTCATCTTGGGCTGCATCAAGAGAGACAAAGTGTCCAGCACCAAGAGGGTGGTAATCCAACTATACTCTGTCTTGGATATATCACATCTGGAATTTATGAGCACTTCATTTTAGGAAGAACAATGATAAGCTGGAGAAGAGGGCAACCAGGATATGAACAACGTTGAGGTAATGCTATATGACAATTAGCAGAAGAAAGTGGAGATATTTAATCTAGTGAAGAGAAAACCTAAGAGAGAAGACTATGAAAACTTTCTTAAAGTATTTGAAGAGTTGTCCTGCAGAAGACAGATTAGAATTGTTCGGGTTGCAGCCAGAATTTTTGCTGTACTTGACCCCAGAGATTAAAACTAGAAATAACATAGAAAGTGCAAAGAAACGAATTTAGATGTGATTTTGCCTAACAAGAAAGCTGTATAAAAAAGTAAAGTGTAATACCAAATAAATCAAATAAATTTAAAAGATTTTTAAAAAAGAAGCAAAATGTGCAGCCTCGGGGGGATGCCTTTCCCATTGCTGGAGGTCTTCGGGGAAAGGTTAAATGCCCTCTTGTCAGCCATGTTGTCTCATGGATCCTTGTTGAAGTACAAATTGGACTAGATGAATGGCCTTTAAGTCCCTTTGACTTCTGAGAGTCTGCAAATTCTGCACATTAAAATTACGAGAATAGTTTATAGATGGTATTACAGGAGGAAACGTGTCTCAATTATCTTCTGACAAGTCAGTAGAACTGAAAGAATTTTCAAAATGAAATAAGCCTTTCATTATATTAATAATTTTGGTAACTTGAGTCAGCTCAGAAATGACCTTTTTCTCTTGATTTATAATTTTTTTAACCTTAACATAGAGGTGCTATATTTTGTTTACAAATGCTAAATATGGCACAATTGAAAAAATTCTGGATTTGAAGTCAGAAGATCTGGGTTCACAGTATTGCTATTTACTATCTAGTCATGTCCTCTGGGCCTCGTAAAGTTTTCTCATCTATAAAATGGTAGAATTAGATTAGATAATCTTTAAGGTCTCTTTTGGCTATCAATCTATGACTATAGGGAATACTATATTTATAATTTTAAAATATATTTAAAGAAAAATTAAATAGGACCTAACTGGTGTGCAAGAAGGAGCAGCTAGGTGGCACAATGGATAGAGAGCTGGGCCAGGAGTAAGGAAGTCTCATCTTCCTGAGTTCCAATCAGCCTCAGGTACTTAGTAACTATGTGACCCTGGGCCAGTCACTTAATTCTGTTTGCCTCAGTTTCCTCATCTGTAAAATGATCCGGAGAAGAAAATGACAAGCCAGTCCATCATCTTTGCCAAGAAAACACCATATGGGGTCATGAAGAGTTGGACATAACTGAAATGACCAAACAACAATAATTTGCAAGAAAATTTTAAAAGAATAAGTGGGATAATTTGTAAAGAATTCTGACTTCTTTTGTAATATGTGCTACTACAAAAATTTATGATATAATCATTGAGTTTTCTAGATTCTTATGCATTTTTATGTTTATTTTTAAGAATAATTTCTTGGACTACTATGTTGCTTACCTGAGGGACTTACCTGAATGCATTTCTCTGGTCCATGTCGTGGTACTGAAAGAGGTGAGCTAACCATCTGTATGAAAACGATACTGCTGACCTATTAGCTTAAACATGGCAACAACGCTGAGCTGTTTGGATATGTGCTGGACCATTTACCCGTTTTGGTTTAGCTCCTGCTGTGGCCAGTGCCTTTTTCAAGACTCCTGGGGAACATTGTGTCAAGGTTGAAAGGTGCTCATTCAGGGATCACACCTTGTCCTCATTAACACCACCCACTAAGTAATGGAGCTGATGACAGTCAGCCTAACCATTCATAACTCTTCAACATGCAACTCTCAGAGCTGTGGTCCTTTAAGCTTTCTCATTTCTGTATAAGGATATTCTGTTATTCTAGAATCTGCAGGGCACACCATAGTCATGTGACTCTTTTGATTAACAGCAATTGCAAATTGGGACAACCATTGTTCCAGGGAAACTCTCCTTGCAAATAATTGGTACTCAATAAATATTACATTGGTTCAAATACAGCTACTCCCCTACCCACCCTCTCAGTCTAGATCGTATAAAACCTGATTGTGGTCTACATTCAGTAACAGCTAGGTGGCATAATGGATAGAGGGTTGGATTTGGATCCAGGAAAGACCTAAGTTCAGATCCTGTGTGTAAAATGGGAATAATAGCACTAACTTCGCAGGGCTCACGTGTTCAAATGAGATAATATATACAAAAGTCTTCTCAAACTTTCAAATGCTACATCAATGTTAGCTACTACATATTGCCTTATTTTCAAAGAGATAACATTTTAGGAGTGTGGCCTTTATTTCGTGGTAGACAGTATTTGGATCATGATGGTTTCATAGGTTACCAAAGGCAATGAATTCATCCCTGAGTGGCCAAATTGCAGGTAACGAATCTCTCTGTACTTAGCTACGCTGCTCCTCATTTATGAGTGCCAGGCTGCTGGGAAACAGAATTGAGGTCTTTCTAGCTTGGTAGACCTTGATAGAGCTTGTGAGCTGCTGAAATAATAGCAGTGAACCCGGTGTTTCCTCCATACTACCGTGAGGCATCAGGGTTGGACCAGTGTGGTATATTCTTTAATTTCTCTAGCTCATAGACTCATTGAGTATGGAAGAACCATAGCAACCTTCAACTCCTTTATATTGCTAGGGTGGAAACTGAGGTCCAGAGAGGTTAAGTAAAGTAAAGCGTCCAAAGTTACCTTGATGGTAAGTTAACTAGGGCCAAAAGAAAAAAAAATGCAATTTAACTCTGCAGTAGCGATATTAAATCAACTAGTGGTGTGAACAGAAGGTTGGGGACGGACCACAAAGCACTGGAATCACTTCACAAAGCAAAGCAGGACAATTTCCTGGCCATTAAACAGGGTTTCTGTCAGTGTCAGGCCATTGTTTACCCTTTGGAAATAGACTGACCCTAGGATGAAATGAACAAATCCACCAGCAGAAACCAGAAATGATTACTCAGAACACATCCAATGGTCTTTGCAGAATAAATTCCGGTCTGTAGTTATTTTCCTGAGTCTCCCTTACCTCCCATGGCTGACCAGTTGCCAACTCTTATTGATTCTGTCTCCAAAACATTTCTTAAATCTTTTCATATTTTCTCCACTCATTCTGACACTACCCTAGTTCAGCGCCTTATCACCTTGTGCCTGCCTTCTAACTAATTTCCACACTTTCAATATCCTCCACATCTAATGTATTGTCCACGTAGCTTTCCGGTTAACATTCCTAATACACAGGTCTGACCGTGTCATGTCAATCCCCGGCTCGAGATTCAGCATTGCTCTTCATTGCCTCTGGGCTACCATATAAACTTCTCAGCCTGACACTGAAAGTCCTCCCCATTAGGGATCCCACCCAGGCCTAGAATGCACTCCTTCCTCACACTAGACTCTTAGAATTCTTAGCTTGTTTCTAGGTTCAGGCCAGGTGCCATCTCCTGTAAGAATTCTTTCCTAATCCCCTTAGATGTTAGTGCTCTCTTCCCCCTCAGATATTATTATATATATTATTACGTATTATTATATATTATTATTATTTGTGTATATACTATATCTCCCCAATAGAATATAAGCTCTTTGGGGGTGAATACCATTTCCTTGTTATTTCAGTATTCCTAGAGCCTACCATAATGCCCTTCACGTAGCAGGTGCTTAATCAATGTTTGTGAATGCCTCCTACTGCCTACTGTACTAGACTGTGAGTAATAGGAAGAACATGGCACCATCCTGCTTGGCAAATAATAAGCACTGAAACGTTTTTTTAAAAAATTCATTTTCATTCAGTCTTAAGGCACTCCTGCCCTGATTAATCGAGAACTATAATACAGAAGGGAAAAATGCTGTGTGACATAACTATCCACTTAGTTCAGCTAAGCTACTTGCTCTCTCCAGGCCTCAGTTTCCTCATCTGTAAAATGAGGTGACCTTTGGGTACCTTCCAAGACTAACATTCTCTGTGGGACCCTTTGTGTTTTGCTGCTTCCTAAAGGCATTATGGTAGTTTTCGTTACTGATGATACTGGGTCCTTGAAGAAAGCTGAGTAGTAACTTTACTTTTCTTTGAATTTAGGCTGAAGAAGAGATTAAATCTGACCTCTACACACTGTTTTTTCACATAGTCCAGAGGATCCCTGAATACCTTATTCATCTGCAGGTAGGTATGGCTGGACAAGCTTCATGGCTTTAAACTCTCCATCTAAAGGCGTTATATAAATTTAAGGGAATTATCACTCTTGATAATGTGACAGTGGTTTGGAATTTCTATTGCTGCCACCCTGGGCCTCTCTATATGGAGGAAGCCTGGATTCATTTAGGTACTTTATTGGCCCACATAGGTAAAAGATGGGGAAACTGAAGCAGACAGCATTAAGTGATTTCCCTAGGGTCACATAGCTAGGCAGTACCTGAGGCCTCATTTGAATTTAGGTCCTCCTGACTCCAGGGCCAGTGCTCTATCTATCTAGAGCACCACCTAGCTGCCCCCTTGCAGTATATAGCATAGTAAAAATTCTTTCCATCCCATGAAATATAGTATTTGACATTCAATAGGCTTACTAAGGCCTTCTCCTCCTATCCCCATGAAGCTCACTGGTGTCCCTTCTGCCTTTGTCTTTCCCTTGATGTCACCTTGGATATACAGATGATACACAAAGCCCAGCAGATGACACAGAAAAAATTTAGAAACTCAGAAATGCATAAAATATATGTACAGTATAATATAAATAGTATATGTATTGTAATATCAACATATTTTTTCATTTTTATCTTTTAATACCATAATAATTCAGACTTCTCTCATATGAAGGGAGAGCCAAAACATTTTATATGGATTTTCCAGATCGTGGGGGTACTGCGTTGTGGAAGGGATAGTTGTACTACCTCAATTGTTGTTTGCCATCATTATAATATCATTGGTGTGCATTGGCACAGTCCTGATACTTCCTAGTTTTAGGGAGCAGATTCCACTATCACTTTGGCAAGAGTTTTATTGAGCTTTCACATCAGGTGCCCTACCTGGCTACTTGGTTGTTCTGATCTAAGCCCCTGCTGGTTTGGCATTCATGTTGACCTTTGGCACCTCCTGTTTGCTGCTTTGTGGTCCTGTCTCCCCCTATATTTCTTGACTTAAGATGTTTGGGAAAAAGTACTGAAGCTATAAATTCCTAAATGACAACACTGAAATGATCAGGGTTATTTCTTAAAATAGCTAGGTCTCCATCAATGAGTATAAGGAATCCCAAGAAATGGCAGCCAGTCTTCCAATTGCACTATTTAAAGTTATAATTATGGAAAATATGATCATTGATTCCAACATATTGAAAATGTACAGTTCAGGTTTGAGTAACATGACCACTTTACAAGATTCATTATTTGCTTCAATCAGGACCTGGCTGAATACATCCTTAAGCTTGAGTCAACTACTACCTCTCTCCTCCTCTCCAGACTCCTATTACATGCAAACTCCTTCAACCCAGGAGTTCCTAACTTTTTTGTGACATAGACCCCTTTGACAGTCTGCTGAAGCTTAAGGACTTCTCAGAATAATGTTTCTAGATGAATAAAATGAAATGTGTAAGATTACAAAGGAAAAGATACAGTTATCAAAATATTTTTTTAAAAATAGTTCATGGACCCCAGGTTAAGAAATCTGTTCACCTTGGCTACAATTATATGTACTGTTTTAATCTGTCATACTACCATTTCTTCTCCCTTTTCTCCTACACCCCCTACCAAATTTAAATCCTTACCTCTAAGCCAAAATATATTTCATTGTACTTTAATTTATATTCAATTCAAGTAGGCTTTCCTCTTCCTTCCTCACCCCCCTCAAGGATTATAGGTAGCATTAGCTTAAAAATTATGTAGGAATCTTTTTCTTAAGAGCTCCTTATCATAGCAAGTAACCTCTGCACTAAATGAATGAGCTTAAGGGCCCCAGATCCCCACCATCATGCCCTCATCACCTTGGATTCCAGAGCTCTCTAGTTATACTTACATGGGCCTTGAAAACATTTGTGAAAATCTGCCTTCTAATTATTCCGACCACCTTTTTTTTGGGATATCTTTCCAAGGGTAATCATCAAGCATTTTAGACTGGTACTGCCAATGTCTTGATCACAGACTAGATATGAAGAAGCTGGTTTGCAAGGATAGTCTATTATAACTGCATATCATAGGACATAGACCAGTACCCTGAACCCTAAAGCCCTGGTAATATCAATGCCGTATAACCTACTATCCCTGCTTCTAATAAACATCCAACTGGCATCATTTAGGTCAGGGATGGCCAACTATGGCCCACATGCCAAATCTGTCCCTTCGCCTGTTTTTGTACAGTCACTGAGCTAAGAATACATTTTCAAATAACAGCATTTACAAATGTAAAAACCACTCTCAGCTTGCTGATCAAATAAAAACAGGTAGAGGACCAGATCTGGCCTGCGGCGATAGTTTGCCAACCTCTGATTTAGGGGAGCAATCACTGTGAAATAGGGGCCCATCATTCTCATTGCCAATGCCAACTGATGTCCAACTGCCACTGATGGTCAGGTAAACCCAAGAGCCCCGGGACTGGCAGTGCCTCACAGACCTGTTTCCAAGCCAGCCCTTGAAGCCATCATTGTGGGAACAACCTCTGTGGAGACAGTATCTGGCAGTTGCTTCTGTGGGTGCCATAACCCCTGCCTCCTCAGCAATAATAACTACCTGGGAAAGAACATAAATAACACTGAAGTCCCTTCATACTGTCCAATAATTTAATATCAGAAACAGATGTGATTTTATCAGTGGAAATAACATTAAGAAAAGCATTACTATTGGCTTGGAGGCTGTGCCCTAAGGACCATGGGAACTTTCTATCCTACTTGCAGCTGAAATCCCTTTTATGAATCATCTGCTCCATAAGGATGGGAGCTCCTAGGGAGGAGAGACTGTTACCACTTTTCTTCTTGTATCTCCAGTGCTTATCACAGAGCTTTGCACATAGTAGGCACTTAAATGCTTTTTCATTGATTTATTCACTTATTCATATTCTCCATTATACTTGTTCTAACCCTGACCCAGTGGTCAAGGGAGAGGATCACCCCTCTCCATTCTAGCTTAATTTCTTTCTGAATTTCTTGGTAACTTAGTGTAGGACACCTTAGAAATATTTAGATCAGTGATGCCAATAAGCTTACACTGCTTCTTCAGCCAGTCCAATTTATGTCTCCTCAGAATTGGGCCTGTGTGGTGGATGAAAGATGAAATGACTGAGGAAACAAAGGTTCAATCTTCCAAGCATATTGATTTATTAAGCAATAAATTCTAATTGCCCAACATACTAGGACCAGACCTCCTCAGCTTAGGCCTGGACCCCAAATACAAGGGGAGACAGACTTTTATACATTAAAAGCAATTAATCAAATAAGGCCAATTAATTGAAAGGAAACAATACAACATTAAGTAACCTGAATTCTAATTGGCAGAAAGATTAGGGACTTTCCAAGTTGGGAGGGGGAGATTGAATAGGTGCAAAGTCCTGAAATCAGAAAAAGAGGTGTTCCACTCCTCCCAAGTGTCTGTGAATAATCAAAGGAAGATGGGAATAATAACTGGTTGATCAATCTGGGGCCAGTTTTCAGATAAGACATATGGATTGCTTGAGATGTACAATATGAGAAAACTCCTTGCATCAATCTTTGCATCTGACTGGGTTTCTGGTCGGCATAATGTAAGTCCTTGGTGAAGGGTCTCTAAGCAGCGGGTAGGGGTGGTCCAGCTTCCCAGCCACACAAGGCTAGGTTCAAACAATGCAACAAGGTTTTCTCCCACTTCCCACAATTGGATAAAGTTTTCTTACAGGATAGAAGTCAGACTAGACCCATAATTCAATAGAAAGGGAACTAAGTTAGCCCCAGAGTTGAATCGCAAGATGGAGTTAGTGTCGTGCCCTCAGTTCCCACAATTAAGCACTTGCTGCCCTAATCCTCTCAATTCCCTTATATGTGGACAGTATGAAGTGAAAGGAACCACAAGGCTTTCACTGTTTGAAAATTACTGTCTGTTATAAGGTACCTAAAGTTCTGGTTTCTCCTTTTGAGTTCAGGCACTGTCTCTATACACTCTCCCTGTTAATGGAAGCTCCTTGAGAGCATGGATCGTTTCATTTTTTGTCTTTGTATTTGCAGGACATAACACAGCATCTGGCCCATAGTAGATTCTTAATAAATGCTCCTTCTCAGGTTGGTGAAGTTGACAAAAATGGAAAATGACAATTGTTAGGGGTCTGTACGAGAGTAGGAACATTGATGCACCCTTGGTGGAGCTGTGAATTAGTCTAGCCATTCTGGAAAGTGTTTTGGAACTATGCCCTGCAAATGACCAAACCATGTATGCCCTTTTTTTGCGCAATACCATTACTAGGCTTTTACCCTAAAGAGATCAAAGAAAGAGACTAATGACTCATTTGTACAATTTTTTTTTGTAGCAGCTCTTTTTGTGGTGACAAAGAACTGGAAACTAAAGGGGCGTCCATCAACTGGGGAATGGTTGAACAAATAATGTTTATATGAATGTAATGGAATATCACTGTGCCAAAGAAATGAGGAAGAATAAGAAATGCCAAATGAGATGGTTTCACAGTAACCTGGGAAGACTAAAAAAAATGATGCAGAATAAAGTGAGCAGAACCAGGAGAACAATGAATACAATAACAGTAATATTATAAAAATGTATGACTTTGAAAGACTTAATAACTCTGATCAATTCAATGACCAACCACGATTCCAGAGTATCCATAATTGAAAAATGCTATTCTCTCCCTGAAAAAAAAAGATGATAGACTCAATATATAGAATGAGACATAAATTTCTGGACATGGCCAATGTGGAAATGTCTTTTGCTTGACTATGTATATTTGTAACAAGAATTGGTTTTTCTCTTCCTTCCTTCCTTTCTTTCTTCCTTCCTTCCCTCCCTCCTTCCTTCCTTCCATCTTTTCTTCCTTCCTTCCTTCCTTCCTTCCTTCCTTCCTTCCTTCCTTCCTTCCTTCCTTCCTTCCTCTTTTTTCTTGCTTCCTCCCTTCCTTTCTCTTTTGATAGAAGTGGGAGGGAGAGAAATATATGCTTGTTCATTGAAAACATTTTTAAATAAAAGCAAAAGCAAAATAAATACTTTTTGAGTGATTGAAAAGGAATGTGAGATCTTTGCAGCTCATTGGAATTTTCCATGTTTAAAGGCATTAAACTCATTTCTAACTCTTAACAAAAATGCCCATAGACACTTCTCTATTGCCTTGGTGTATGAGACAGAATTGGACTAGCATAAATCTTTACCTGGAAAAACATATGCAATTCTTATTGTTTCTAATTATTCTGACACATCATTTATGAAATGACAGATTGAGGTAATGTGCAGAACATAGAAAGGGCAATGATCTATTTGAATTTTCTGACTTCTCCTTTTTTCTTTGCTTTTCCAGAATGTCCTGAAGTTCACTGAGCAGGAACACCCCGACTATTATCTGCTTTTGGTGTGTGTCCAGCGCCTCCGAGTTTTTATCTCCCACTATACCCTGCTGTTTCAATGCAATGAAGATCTGCTCATTCAGAAACGGAAAAAACTCAAGAAGTAAGTTTCTGACAGCCCAGAGTGGAAGGAGGGTCAAAGGGTATGAACAAAGGAAGGATGCAAGACATTCCTGAGTTATCACTTTGCCCATCACCAGAGGCAACACTGGGGTAGAGAGAAAGGCATAAAATGAGGTGAGACAGAATAATAGACCAGAGGAGGATGGATGCCTGCTGGAAGAAGTGAAGAAGCCCAGATCAGAATCTCCCAATCACACTGGCTGCCTCAGAACTCTCTGGGCACCCTCCTGCATATGCAAACCCACCTTTCCCAAGCCACTTTGGAGAAGTCGTCTTTTTGAAAGGTCTTCAGACTAGAGACATTATAAGGTTTCCTCATCCCCTCTTTGGACTGTTGTTTCCTCAAAAGTTCATGCTTTTGACTTACTTATTTTTGTGTATGGCATTGCCATTCAGTCAGCCTTACATTTTCAAAACTTATTTTACCTTTGAGTCTTCCCTCATTTGCCTCCCACATTTAATCAGTTGCCAAATCCTGATAATTCCATTGCAATATCTCTGGCATCCATTCCCTCTTTTCTTCATTACCACTCACGTGGACTATTGTAATAACCTGATAAAAAATATTTCCCACCTCCAGTTTCTCTTTCCTTTAATCCATACCCCAAACCCTGTGCATCTTCCATGTGTATAAACCACAGAAGATCTGAACATGTCATTCCTTTACTCAAAATCCTTCATTGGTTTGTCTGTCAGGCAGAGTCAAGACTCCTTAGGTTGGCCACCATTGAAAACCCTTCATAATGTGGCTCTACTCTAACTTTTCAGCCTTATCTTAAAGTATGCTGCTCCATGGACCCTTTGTTGTAGGCAGACTAGGATACTTGTCACCACCCATCCATGTACCATAATGCCCTGCCCCAATGTTTTGGCGTATGCTGTTCCCAATACCTAAAGTGCTCTTTCTTCAATTTTTGCCTTTTGAAAACTACCCACCCTTTGAGACCTAACTCAAGGTATTACCTCTCCCAGAATGCCTTCCATGATTTCCCACAGTTAAAAGTAATCTTTTCTTTCTCAGCCCTCACATAGCACTTTCTTTGTACTTTTCTTATGCACATAAGCTCCATTTTGTATTATGATTGTTTGTGTATTGTTACAGCCTTCTACTAAATCATAAAACTCTGAGGGCAGGAGCTATACTTGATTTATCTTTGTATCTCTCTCAGAACCTGGCACAGTGCTCTGCACATAGTGGGTGCTTAATATTTATTTTAAATTTTATCTTACTTTTATTAATAACTTTCATTTTTATATCACATTCATTTCCAAATATCTCTTAGGGGCACGTAGGTGGCACACAGGATAGAGTGTCAGGCGGGATCAATAAGATCTGAGTTCAAGTCCAGCCTCAAACACTTACTAGCTGTGGGACCCTAGGTAAATCACTTAGCCTCTTTTTGCTTCGGTTTCATCTGTAAAATGTAGATAATAATTGCATTTACCTTGCAAAGTTGTTGTGAGGATTAAATGAGGTAATAAGTGTAAAGGGTTTAGTATAGTGCCTAGCACACAGTAAATGCTATATAAATGTTAGCTATTATTATTAATAATTGTCAACCAAGATTTAAAAAAGGAAAAAAGCAATTCAACAAAACTACCCAATACCATCTACTATATCTGACAGTGTCTGTACCATTCCACATCCATAGTCCCCTACCTCCACAAGACAGGGATGGACATGCATTTTCTAAACTCTTCTCTGGCATCAGGTTGGGCCATTATAATTAGGAAGCATTCAGTTTTTTTATTTCCATTTATATTGTAATTATTGTCTACATTGTTTTCCCAGTTCATCTAAATTCACTCTGTTCAATCAATTCATACTAGTGTCTCCATGCTTCTCTGAATTTTTCATATCTGTTATTTCTTATGGCACAGTAATAGTTCACAGCTCACACTTTGTTTAATAAATGTTTGTTGAATTGCATTTATGGAAAGCATTTCCCACACCAACTCTAGCCATTTCAGCTACTTCATAATAACATCCACCTTTCCCTAAAGCATCATCAGCACCCACCAAAGGGCAAGCACACTTCTTATGTGGATCTACCTCTCTCTGAGAAACATCTCTGTTCTGGGGAAATCCTAGATGAACCTGATTTCCCATCACATCCTGAGAATTGTTAATGGAGCTGTCTCTCTGCTTGCTTAGGTCATCCATGGCGAAGCTGTACAAAGGACTGGCTTCCCAGTGTGCAAACACCGGGCAGGACGCTTCCCCAGCTCCTGGTCCTGAGGCTGTCCGGGACAGTGGTGGGATCCACTCCGAAGAGATGCTACAGCCTTACCCTGCTGCCACCAGTCCTGGCTCAGCTGTCACGTAAGCTGCTGTCACTGGGGAAAGGTTCATGGACATCCCCTCATGTCCCTAGCAGTCAACTTTAAAGGTTCTCTGGCCAGGGCCAACTGCATTATTGTAGCTTGGCAGGATCTTCTTCCCTCGGCTGGGGCATTTATACATTCCCCTGCTGATGCAGTGAACTAGAGAGAGACTTCCTCTTTGTACCAGAGATTGCAAGGTGTAGCACGATCGAGGTTCATAGGAAGTGCTGGGGGGACAACTTCTCTTCATACTACCTGATCAAGGTTTGTCTCACCCTGATCACCCCTTTATTCTTAACTATCCCTGTCCTGCCTCCCAGACCTTTGGGCTTGGGCTGGCAAGAAGGGGAAAATATATATAAGGAAGGGCAGGTGGAAAGAGTTCTCTGAAGCCACAGAGAGCCACTCCAAAGTTGTACAGTGAGATTTAGGCCTCCCAAAGAAAAACCGGAATAGGCCTTCCCTTTCCCCCAAGCATTGGGAAGGGAAAGAAGAGTTCTCTTAGGTCTCAGAGAAGTCTGTGTTCTGAGGATCTGTGTGTGAGGCCCAACAGCAACCAGAAAGACTGTTAAACTGGCTAAGGCCTGCCTCCTCAGGTCCCTGCCTCAATCAATCCATCGAGATTTACTGTGGGCCTACTATGTGCCAGGTGCTGGGCCAAGAGCTGGGGATACAAAATGAGCAAAGAGATAGTTTGTGCCCCCAAGGAATTCACCCTCTAACTCTCGCTAAGGCTCCATTTTTATAAGAAAGCCTACACATGAGTGCTCAATTAGGGATGTCATAAGCTACTCTGTCAGCTTGTCCTTAGATGTCCCCGGGCACTCCAGGAGAGAATAGGATTTTATCTTTTTGGTCTCCACTCACAACTGACTGGCATGTTAAGCTGGGATCTCATTCAGCAAACCTTGGGGCACAGGAACACATTAAATACAGTTGGGGTGATTCTGGTCCTTAACACTTTCAAACTTTCTGGCATTTATTTTTACCTTAGAAGGATAAGCATGGATGGATTCAGTCTTGTGAGTTTTTGAGGGAAACAAAAATGCAAAATTCTTAATCTTTACTCTACCAGAATGGGTCCATTTCTTTCTAAATTCCTTGCTCTGTAATTTGTTTCCATATCTATTATCTTAAGACAAATTTAATTAACGTTGTTATAACAGAGTTGATTTTTCTCCCTCAACTTTATATTATCATGACAGCTGGGCTATTGCTGTTTCAGCCACCAAATTTTCCCAATGACCTCTCTGTGAGGCTTTCCCCACAACTCCTTCCAGGCGTATGTGGCCAGCACGAGCCAGCTCTATCCTTGCCATGGTACCTTAGAGGGCTGTGCCCACATAAGGAAGGTCTCCCCAGGAAGCATGCAGCTGCTTTCTCAGCATCTGTGCTCTTTCTAGGATGCCAGCCTCCAGACTGGACTCAGAGTTGGCAGGGAAGCAATCCTTGCATAGGCAGGTTCTGAAAGAGCTTCTCTTTGTAGCCAGCTGGGGCCCAGTACAGGCTACTGCTTCAAGGCAAGCTATGAGTGAGAAGAGAGTTTGTCAGGCTGATTGCCACCTTCATATCAAAAGATAGGAATAGTGTAGAACTCGCTCTAAACTTCTGTTCTCTCTAGAGTTCTGTTGAAGAATGTCAACACAAATCAGCACATTTTGGTTACCATTAAATCTTATGGAATCTGTATTCAGTTGAGTTCTTCTGCATTGATAGAGACATGATTAGTTTTAATAAGTTCATAGTAATTTGGTTCCATCTGTCAGGTAATCATCTAACTTGAACAATTTGGAAAAATTAGAGCTGCAGTGGGCCATAAAATCATTCAATCCAACTCTCTTATTTTATAGAACTTTTTTCTTTTCTTATACAACATTTTATTCCCCCCCCATTACATGTTAAACAAATTTCAAACTTTTTTTTTCAAGTTTTGAGTTTGAATTCTATTCCTCTTTCCCTTCCTTTCCCCCTCCCTGAGATGGTAAGCAATCCAATATAGGTTATACATATGAAATCATGTAAAACATTTCCATATTAGTCATTTTGTACAAGAAGACTAATAAAAAGAGGAACAAAAGAAAAGAAGAAAGAAAGAAAAAAGAAAGAAAGGAAAAAAGAAAGCTTTCTGAAGAAAATTAGGCCCAGAGAGCTTAGGTCATGCTCAATGTCACATAGGTAGCAAGGGAAGGATTATAACCCCAGTCTACTGGTTCTAAATTGAGCGTTCTTTTCATCATACCATATTAACTTCCTATCTTATGGACAAAATAGGCCAGACAGTTTATAAACTAGTCAAATGGCCAGTTATCTAATACTGAAAATCTTTGTGTGACACTCAAGATTAATAGCAGAACCCATTTGGACAGTAGATAGGTAACAAATTCTAGCTTTACTAATAATTATAACAGTAATTGACATTTACATAGCATTTTAAAATTTTCAAAGCACTTTATAAAACATTACCTCATTTAGGCCACACCAGAACCTCATGAGGATGATACTACAGGCATTATAATCCCCATTTAACAGATGAGGAAACTGAGGCATAGAGAGATTAGATGACCTGCCCATGGTTACACAACTAATAAGTATCAGAGAGAGACCTAGGTCTGACACGAAGTCTAGCAAAACCAGTTAGAATGTATATCATTGATTTCCATACCACATTTCATTTTTCATATGGATTTTTAAAAAGTATGAATATACAGTAGTCCAACTATAATAAGAGAAGTGGGGAAGGAGAGGGACAGGCAGTTCTGGGGCATTGAGAGGTGACCAGGGAAGGGATCAGATCTTCTGGAGGGGAGAGTGACGACAAAATGCCTCTCACAGCCATCTCATCCCAATGCTTCCTTACCTACGAGATGCAGGAGAATGATACTTTCGACATCTGCTTTACTTTATGGACCAGCACTCTCTACCCTCCCAGGCAGGGGGAAGGGGCTCCCAGGAACCCCTTAATCTGAGACTTCTGGTGGCCACTGCATAGGTGGCTGTAGAATAAGCACTTCAGGCTGGGGGCCCGCCAGGCCCTTTGTGGCCCATGGCACCCCCTGGATGTGCATACAAGGAACCTGGGGAGGGTCTGTGAGGAGTGGTGTTGGCGGTTTCATTCTTTAACGGTTTCTGACAGGTTATGTTGTACTCAGACCTTGAGCAGGCTCTGGCTCGTGACCGGGCCTGAACTAATGAACCATATGCACACTTCTTTTGTATTCTGTTTCCCCTTTAAAGACATTTGATGCCCCAAGCGAAGAAAAGTCACCAACAAACCTTGATGGAGCACATTCAGCCTGGGAAGCCCTGTGACTGGGAGATGGAGGGTAGAAAACACGAGAGGCCGGAAAACCTCCTGGCCCCGACTCAGTTCTGTCCCACTGAGCAGGACTTGAAGGCTTTGGCAGCCCCGCTGCAGGCCATCCCGGAGATGGACTACGACCCCACCCTGCCCGATGCCGTGGGCAACCTTGAAAGGTCCATCAGAGCCCCAGCAGAGCTGCTGTCCGACACTCGCACCTTCGTCCCCAGCTACGAGGAGTTTGAGTATGGCGGTGAAATCTTCACCCTGCCGGCTCCCTACGAAGAGGAGACTTTTCAGAGCCTGCCTCTCTTCGAGGCCTGCTCCCCTGCTTCCTCTGAGTCCAGCCTGGACATTTGCTTCCTCAGGCCGGTCAGCTTCACCATGGAACCCGAAAGGACTGAACACTCCATGCAGCCCCTGCCCAAGAGCGCCACGTCCCCCGTGAGCAGCAGCACGTACAAGCACGAGGCTGTCCACAGCAAAACGAAGCCGCTGAGTCGCTCCCTGAAGGAGTTTCCCCGAACGTCCACCTCGGAAGGCGTCACCACCAGACTGTACAGTACGAGGAGCAGCAGCGGCAGCCGTGTCCAGCTGAAACAAGAGAGGACTGCCCAGCCCCACATCACATCCACAGCTAGGAGCTCCCCAAGGAACTTCTTCCCCCCCCAGAGAACACAAAGTGAAAAACAGACCTATTTGGAAGTAAGGAGGGTAAAGTAAACCAAACCAAAAACATACGGAGGCCGCGGTCACGGGAGAAACAAAGTCGGTGTGTCTAGGTTTCTGGGTCTCACACTACTTACTTAGGAGTCCTGTCCAACTAAGATTGGAAAATAAAGCAGTCAAACCCTATTTTGACATGGCTTACCATTACACAGGTTTGCATGGGTATTGGGGTCCAAATCTGGACCCACCGCATGGAACAAAAGGCTAACATAATGGTTAACCTTTAAGACAGATGTTAGTCCTCTCCCCCTATACCCGTGTTATAAAAAGCTTCCACTGTATTAGATAATAGTTGTGATATTTAGTGATTATAACCAATACCTTGAATCTCTATAGCACCTTTCTTCTGAGGCATCTAAAGAGTTTCACATATATTATCTTTGCCTGCCTATGAAATACCATCTCATTAAAGACGTGGCTTGTTGCCAAAGCAACACAAGAGAGGATTGAAACTCATCTTTCCTTCCTCTCCTAAGTTGGTGCATCTTCCCAGTTTTCATTTTTGAAACACTGAAGTAGTCTGCATGTACGTACTCTGTTATCCCTTTTATTCTTACAACTAGCTTAACAGGTAGAAAGAAGGCAAATAGTTTCCTAAAAGATTAGAAAGCTAGAGCTGAGAAAAGCTGTCTCAGTGATTTTCCCTTGGTGAAATAACTCTTTGTAACCCACCTTTTATAATAGACACCTAAGTGATACATGAAAGTTACAAGAGGGCAGGTTTCTGCTCATCATAAAAATAGCCTTTTCTAAGGTAGTGAGAACCTCTCACTAAAAGTTCCTAAAGAGAGGCTTGGATGGCCTCTGGATATGGTAGAAGGGATTTCTACACTGTGTGGGAGGTCAGACTAGATGGTCTTAAGGCCCCCTCTCACTCTTAGACTCTAGGGCTACCACAGTTTATCGGATTTCATTTTGCCTGGAGGAAGAAAAAAATTTGGGCAGAAGAAATCAAGGCAGTAGACCTGAAAATAAATTCTCAAGGATCCAAAGCTATGATCTGACCTTTGTTTTCTCTTAAAACGGGGAGGTTAGGTAAAGGAGGATTCTACTGCAGTAGTCCAGGGGAATAGTAATAAAAGTTTATACTGGGCTAGTGGTGGTGAGAGTAGAGAAGAAGGGATGGATGAAAGAAGTATTGAGGTGCTATGGGGAAAGTGGCACAGTTGAAAGGACACTTGCTCTGAAGTTCAAATCTCACCTCTGATGCTTACTTGGACAAGACATGTAACTTTGTTGGGCCTCAGTTTTCTCATCTGTAAAATGAAGGGGTTGGACTAGGTGGTCTCTGAGGATCCTTCTAGCTCTATGAGCCTATCTGACTGGAGGTAAGAGATGAGGGAGAGAGAAAAGACAAAGACGGCACCATGGTTTCCAATGTGGAAGATTGGTTGTACTATTGATAGAAACTGCAAAGTCAGTTTAGGTATAGGCTGGATTAGATGGCTTCTGAGGTCCTTTCCAACTCCGTGGTTCTGTGATTCTGATTCTCCAAAGGTAAAAAAGTAAAAGAAACCAAAACCCCACAATGGAAGCAGCCAGGAGGGAGAAACTCAGGGTACCACCAGGTCTACAGGTCTCACATGAGTTTATTTACTGCACAGAGCATAACATCTCAGTGTAATAAGGGCCTAAGGATTTGGACAGGCATTTTTGTCTATGTTCATGAAAGGGTTATTGTTTCTGGAGCCAACACATGGTGTTCTCTGCATTTGAATGGAATAAGGGCAACTTCCTGCGGCCAACTAAGATGTAATCTCAGATTACTTAGGCAGAGTCAGAAGAGAGCTGTGGCCCAGGACCTTGTTCCTGTCATACATAATGCTAAATGAAGTGTTCAGCATTCAGCGTTCACAGGAAGCGCTGTACTTGTCCCATGATGAGAAGAAGGTCACAATCCAGTTCAGTGGCCGCTAGGTCCAGGGTCTCAGCACTAAGAGATCCTGCATTTCTCTTGCTTTCACTTTTTTTTTCGTCCAAATGGGTGCAAGTAGATTGAAAATCATTTCTCTTCTATGCTCTCCCATTCTTGTGAATTGTCTATTTGTGGTGCGGGAGGGATGGGCAGGAAGAAGACAGGGTATCTAGCTGTCAGCTGGGATCTTAGTGTTGCTTTCTCATTGGTATTGGCTGGGGCTTCTGCTGTGTGCCCTAAGACAGCTCAAGAAAATCCAGGAATGCACCCACTGATCCTTGCCCGCTGGCAATCAGAATAGTTGTCTCGTCAGAACTTCTAGGTAGTTCCTCCTGGCTGGGCCTTCCAGCTTCATCTGTCCTAGTATCAGAAGCATGTTTAGGGTTGTCGGGGTTGTCTGGGAAGAGTACTACTGAGAGCAAAGAGGCTTGAGGGGAAGGGGATTCAGACAATGATCTTTCCGTGGGGGGAAAAGCAACCTTAAAAAAAAATTCCATACTTTCAAAGGTGTTAGCTCTTTCTTGATGAGACTTCCATAAGGAAACAGTATTAGACCTACCCTATTCATCTTGAAGATCTTCCATATACCTGTTTGGTCTCCCCTCTCTACCTTCTATTGTCACTCAGGGAAGTCTTAAACTTTCTCTCTCAAAAATGTGAAGCATAGCAGGAAGGGACTAACATCATCAAGGTGCTGGGCCAGGAGTCTGGAGACCCACATCCTAGTCCTGGTTCTGCTGCTGATTAGGTGCATGGCAATCGGACAATTCTAGGTACATGGCCAATAGGTACATGGCATCAGACAATTCTAGGTACGTGGCCAATAGGTACATGGCATCAGACAATTCTAGGTACGTGGCCAATAGGTACATGGCATCAGACAATTCTAGGTACGTGGCCAATAGGTACATGGCATCAGACAATTCTAGGTACGTGGCCAATAGGTACATGGCATCAGACAATTCTAGGTACGTGGCAATTAGGTACATGGCCAATAGGTACATGGCATCAGACAATTCTAGGTACGTGGCCAATAGGTACATGGCATCAGACAATTCTAGGTATGTGGCAATTAGGTACATGGCAATCGGACAATTCTAGGTACATGGCCAATAGGTACATGGCATCAGACAATTCTAGGTACGTGGCAATTAGGTACATGGCAATCGGACAATTCTAGGTACATGGCCAATAGGTACATGGCATCAGACAATTCTAGGTACGTGGCAATTAGGTACATGGCATCGGACAATTCTAGGTACATGGCCAATAGGTACATGGCATCAGACAATTCTAGGTATGTGGCCAATAGGTACATGACATCAGACAATTCTAGGTACATGGCAATTAGGTACATGGCAATTGGACTTACTTCTTTCTGTTCCTCAGTTTCCTGGATTGTAAATGAGGATAGCACCTGCCTCCTGGGTTGTTATAAAGTCAAATGAGATAATGTATGTGAATGTGCTTTGAAAGGCCAAAGTGCTATACAAAAGCAAGGTATTATTAATAAAAAAAAAAAATTACAGTGAAGTTTTAGGGAAACTTACTCTGAAGAAAACCCTAATTTTAAAATCACCTAGGTTTTATAAATAATTTTAGTAGATTCACATATAATCAAGTAAATATGAAATGTTTAAGGTCAGCATTAAGTTTGGGGATTTTTCCTCAGTGGGTGATCATAGCCACTTGTCTCAAACCAGACAAAAGCCTTAATCTTGCTGAAAAAGTCCTGCAAACAGACCCTAACTCTCCCATCCTTCACTTCTTTAAAGGACAGCAAGCCTTTGTCAAATTGTAGAATCACCAGGGTGGTTTTGCTTTAAATCTCTTTGCTTCCTTCAAATGATTATACCTCAAGCAGAATTTTTTGGGGGGAATCTCAGTTGTTGTGGTTAGTTGTCCGTTCACGAAATGCATAATAATTTTTAGATTAATTTCTGGTTCCTTTGGTGATAGCCAATATTAAAATAGGAAGGGGGTTTCATAAAAGGTAGAATTCTGGTTCTATTCTGGAAGTCCAAATGTAAAGATCTTACCAAAACTCCACTTAAATATTCAAGATAAGAAGATAGGTTATGTGCTACTTGGAAACGTACCTTATGCCAACAATTGAACACTCTCTTTTTCACCAAAAAAACGAAAAACAGAAAACCAAAAACAAAACCTCCGAACCAAACCAAACCCTTGCTTCCCCAATTCATTTCTTCTTCAAGTGGACAAGTAGGGAGAAGTGCAAATATTGTCCTGAAAACAATCAGCTCTCCCATTTTACATATGGGAAAACTGATACTCAGAAGTGTAAAGGGACAGTTTTTCAGCTTGCCCAATATGATAATGGAGGTGCCTAAAATGGAATCCAGGAATTCTGATTCCTTTACCCTTCTTTAAGCTCTAGGTAACTCTCCCTCTACTGTTTTCCTTCTTAATTCATTCTCTTTCATGACCCTACACTTGGGTGACCAGTAATACGTTAGTTTCACCCAAATTAACTGGAGACAGCACCTTAGCACCTGGTTGAAGAGGCCCCATTTCTTCAGCTGTTCAACCTCGGGGTTTGCCTCAGCAGAAGCTTGTTGCTGTCCAGACATTTTGAGTTGTGTCTGACTCTTCATGACCCCCTTTTGGGGTTGTCTTGGCAAAGATATTGGAGTGGTTTGCCATTTCCTTCTCCAGCTCATTTTGCAGATGAGGAAACTGAGGCAAGCAGGGCTAAGTGATTTGCCTAGGGTGACACAATTAGTAAGTGTCTAAGGCTGGATTTGAACTCAGGTCTTCCTGCCTCCAGACTTGGCACTCTGTCTGCTCTGCTCCCTAGCTGCCCTAGTTAAAGGTTAGAGACAATCATTTCATGAGACTATTATAAACTGTGGGAGAGTCTTTTTAGAAAACCCAACATTTTGTTTGTTTTTGTTTGTTTTTCAGGAAATACATGTAGAAGATAACACCAGATTCTGTCCGAAGGAAGAGAGAGAAAGTGAACAGACATCATTCAGTGATCAGCATCCCAGCAGGCAAGACCAGAAAGGGGGCTTCCGCAGCTCCTTCCGCAAGCTCTTTAAAAAGAAGTGAGTAGCCCTTAGATCAGACAGCTTTCTATCTCCTTCCCCTCTGGGATCCTTCTTGAGGTTTTCACAACAGCAACAACTACAACAACAATAATAACGATAATTTGGCCTCAAGAAGCCGCTTCAAGCTTAATGCCTGCTCCTTATAGCCAGGGATTGACTTCTAGTTTTGTTTTGTTTTTTTCTCATTTTGGTCTCCTTCCATGCATAAAGAAACTGGTTCCACTCCCACCACTAGTAACTTTTCTCCCACCTCCTAGACCCTGCACCTTCCCACCTTCCCCACCCCGACAAGCTGTGCTTAGTGGAGCAAGCAGCATACATCCACTGGCAATGAGCCAGTAGCCATCTTTGAGATATCAAGGAATCCTGGGATGTTGGTATTGGGTATAATGGGTGTTTCCAATAGAACCTTCCTTTAAAATGCTCCATCTAGGTACCCAAGTGCTTTTACCTTTAGGAAACCTGTAGAAGCTTATAGCAATACAGCCATGGATGCTGTGTATGTTTAGTGGGGACCTGTTGTTCCCTACCCCCAAGGAATGAGTTTGGCTGTGGCTAGGATTATAATGTGTTCTTCCTCCTGTCTGCAGGCTCTGTGGGAGGTTGAGCCCTTCAAATTAGGAAGGGCAAGAGAGAAATGCAAAGGAGGACTGTGCTTTTAAAATTAGAGCTATTTGCTCTGCAGTTGTCAAATGTTGGTAGTGGAAATTTCCTTCTTTATCCACCCCTTAGGCTGAAAGGCTTCTGCCTGTGGTTCCATAGGTTCCCACATTCTTCTCTCACAGTGAAAATCTCCTTCCATTTAATCTCTCCTGGTAGACTGGAGACTTGAGTCAGTCTGAATCACGAAGTCAGGGAAATTAAATGGATATGCTTACTGCTGATTGACAGGTGAGTGTGTGATTAGCAGTGTGTGGAGAGGCTACCTTGCTGAGCCTCAAACAGTTGCTGGTTGGTTCAGATAATATTCTTGATGGAAGAAGCTAGGAACAGGTCTGGAGTGGGAGAATTACATTTCTACACTGTCTTTAAAAAATATGGGGAAGACCACTGAAATCAGTGTTAGGGCACAGAAAGTTGGTTCTTGCCAAGATTACTGGTTGCTCATAGCCCGTTGTTAAAAGGCTTTGGGGAAGGGTAAAAATAAATGGATTCTTTACCATACACAATCCCTCATTAGCTAAGTTCCAGACTGGTTGCTATTCTCAGCTTGCCAGCACTGCACACCAGGGTTGCTGTATAGTCATTTTCTTATCTTAACTATTACTGTCTTCAAATGAACTTTGCTTAAGGGCAGAGGATTTGAGGATTATTCCCATTTTCCAAGAATCATAGGCTTAGGTCTTTCCTGGCTCAGTCACCACCTCCACCATGCTCAGCAATGAGACCAGCAGCAGGCGACCCTTCACTCCTGCCTTGGTGTCCAGGCTGCCTCCAGTTTCATAACTCATAAGGCCAGTATTGCTCCTGCCTGTTTCCTTCCATAGCTGAATTGTTCCTTGATGCCAGTATTCATGGTTTGTCCATCCCGGCTTTTAATGCGAGTATACTTGCTAGAAGCAATGAAACTACCACTACCTTTCCCTAGTCCCCTCCCCAAACTTTTAGAAACATTCTGGAGGATTCATGTAGAAGAGGCTAGGGACTAGTTTGGTTTTTCTGTAGAAGGACAGAATTAGGAGTGACAGGTGTAGGTTACAGAGAAGTAGATTTTAGCTAAGGAAGGGCTTCATAAGAAATAGAGCCATCTCTATCTGTCTTATGAAGTAATGAGTTCACTCTAACTGGAAATGTTCAAGCAACATCTGGATGGCCACCCATCGGGGTGGGGGCACTGGGAAAAGGCTATGTTACATGACTTCCAGTCTCTTCCAACTCTACCATTGGAGGCTTCATCCAGATTTTGGTTTGAGTCACCATGTCCTTGTACAAGACAAAATGGTAGGTCTACTTGTTAGCTTGTTAGGATTTGAAAGGTATTTATACTTCTTAGCCTTGAATCCTGTAGTCCTTCAGGGTATCTCCTTGTTTAATATTTGAAGCAACATCTGAAGGAAAGTGATGGCAGAGACAAAATAATAATAGCTAGCACTTACATAGTGTTTTAAGGTTTGCAAAGTGTTTGACATTTGTTATATCATTTGATCCTCACAAGAAACGTATTGAGTAAGTGCTCTTATTATCCCCATCACACAGATGAGAATACTGAGACTGACAGAGGTTAAGTGACTTCCACAGCTAGGAAGAGTCTGAGGCAACACCCAAACTCAAGTTTTTCTTTCTCCAAGTCAGTCTTTCTATCCACTGTGCCCCGTCACGGACTCACAAGAGCATGGAAGTTGAGATGGTCGGCTTGCCAAGGGTTCCCAGACCTTTCCATTCCATCCCAAAGACAATGTTGATGAACTATCATTGAACATTCACAAAATTATGATGCCATAGTTGGTACTGTGAAGATTTAATACGCCATGGAAAGCAGCATGTAGTTGTAGCTTTCAGTACTGGTGTTATCCTCTGAGTATGGAAAGAGAGAGTAGGCAATCTTCTGCATGGTAAAAATGTCAGTGATATTTAACTCAGATGATACTCCAGTCTTCCTCATCCCAAGACACTGAAATGCTCTTTTGTGCATAAGACTGTGCCAAAAACTATGATGACAGGTGTCATAGTAAGGTATGTGTTCTACCCCTTTAGGCAGGAGCTTACTCTTTAAAGTCAGGCAATAAAAACCTGGACAAATGTGTGATGGGATAGGTGGAAGCATCCAGGCCATTTTCCCCCCACTCTGAGTCTGAAGACTACTATTAAAAAGTCTTATTTGATTTTATGTAGGGACATAGAAAATCTCTTAATGCTCAAACAAAACAAGGACCTAGTTAGAGAGACAAAATATGCCAGTTCAAGAGAAGGGGCAGAAACAGCAGATGTACTCACTCCTCTGTAGTGCTCAGTCCTGTGCTCCTCTCCCCTGGTTAGGCTTTTCTCAGTGCAGAACGGTGATGGGTGTGCCGGGATCATTTGGCTGCCTGCCAATTCATGTTGTTTCAGAAGGCTGTTCCAGGTTCTAGCTGGCTATGAGGCTGGACACAGCAGAAAATTTAAGAAACAAAAGAATAGGAGGCACTTTCTTTTTGTGGTTGAATGTATTGCTGGTTTCCACGTAAGCAGAGTATAGAGAAACTTCCCACATCACTCAAAACATATTAAATGAATGCCCAAGATGATGATAGGAAACCATCTGATTGCTTCTACTTAGAGTGCATTAAGCCTGTGTGCATCAGATCAGGTGCAGAGATGCCTCCAGAAGCTGCCCAAAAGAAAATCAGGATAACTCAATCTGAAGTTTGAAAAAGCTGTTAGCTTTTCAATTTAGCTAGGACTCTCAGAAAACAGAAACAGGACCGACATGATGCAGTGGTCTATTCAGAGAATGTCAGGACTACCTCGAACCTTTCCAGGTCATCAAGCCCATCTCTCTGCCTCTAGGCAGATTGTAATTAAGCAGCTATACCATATCAGAAACCCCTTTAAATTCATCAAGTACTTGATCTTAGAATAGCCTGGTTGGATGCTGTCCACCACCACATTAAGTGGAAAAGTGCTGTGGGAGAGGGCCACAGAAAGAGACACAGGACCAGGGAAGGTGTATATATCTCTCTCTATCTCTATATAGATATCGATATATATATTTATATGGGACTCTTCCTTTATCCCAAAGTCCTATCAGTGAGTACCATGAGTTCCTTCTCTCTGAAAATTTTCAAGTGGAATCTAGATGACCACTGATTGTTATGCTAGAGAGGTCTGGGCTAGATTAAGTGGATTTTGATATTTCTTCCAACTTGGAGATTCTGTAAATCTATGATTCTTTAGTCATCCCCATGCTCACTTCTATTTGGGACTTTTTTCAGCCTTTACTGATTTCAAGTCTTCTCTGCTCACCAAGGAACACCTGCTGACTTATTTACTAATTCAGATGAACAAATTCATCACAGGGCTTCACATATTTTTAGTTATTATAGTCTCTATGTTCTATCATGGTTTTATAGTTTTATGCATTATATATAGAACTCCATACATAACACAGTGAATGATGGAAAATTGATCATTAGTGAATCCTATTTTATTTGGTTTGTGGCGATTTGTTTTTTCTTGTACAAGTTCAAATAAATGGATTGCCCAGCATCAACAGTTGAACAGAACTTGTAACTGATGGTGCAACAACTACAGATTATATAACTCCATTGTCCAATCTGCAGTGCCCTATCAACCACTCCATTTAGCTATTGGTCCTATTCAAAATCCATATTTTCGTGACTTTTCTGGACCCTCTTTCTGTACTCCCACCCCAGTCCAAGTTTTCCTTTGCAATGTTCAGACTGAAAAGGGATTGAAAAAGCAGAATTTTTTAATGGGTGGTAGAAATGACTCCCTTTCATTCAGTTGCTTCAACCACTGATGGAGCTTCTTGGACATTCTCCATGAAACCTTCATGAGAACTCAGATATATCTGTCTTGGCTAAGCTTATAGAATAATAATCAGAGTATCTAATAATCAGAGATCCAGAGAAGCACTACAATTTCCCATTCTGTTTGGATAAAACTTATTCTAATGAACAGTGTAAAGGTAGTATGGGATGGAATATAAAGGTAGAAGTATCAGATATTAATTTTTTGGTTGCTTTTTCCTAGTTACTATTTTCTCTACCCCTGCCATTTTAGTAAAGACTTAGGAAATATTGGACAGGTGTGAGTAGATAGCAGTTAGTCTGAAAAAAAGATCTTGGAGTGTTAGCTGACTGCACGTTCAATAAGTCATGAAGGAGCCACAAAGCCAATGCAGTCTTAGGCATCATTGAGAGAGGTATAGTGTCCAGGACTAAGGAGGTGATAGTCCTTCTGCTTATTGATTGATTGATTGATCTACTGTAGGTCCTTTTCAATCAGTCACATATATTCAGTGAATACTTGTGTGTCTAGTACTGTGCTAGCCTCTATGGGATTTAATATTTTCCTATAAGGGATTTACAATCTAGGGAACTGCTTTCTCAACCTAAGAGGAAAGAAAAAGCTATCGATAATCTGTTTTCCCCCCTCCTTCTCTCAAGATCTTGGAGTGCTAGACTATATGTATGATGGTGACCATTTGAACTTCCCTCCCTCTATTATTTCCTGCTAGTCTAGACCCAGAAGTGCAATGCCTGTGTTCATAGCTGCCCTCTGTTGCATGTACACATGGCTGTATGGGCTCAGATGTGTAGACTTTTTGAGGTCTTTGACTATGCAATGCTTGGCTTAAGCTTCCTGTGCAAGTACAAATGATTTCTTTTTACTTTAAAGGTAGAGAGATAAAAGGCAAGCATGCAGGCCTCCTTAAACACAACCCATAGGTCATCTTTCATATGTCTATATCTGCAGATACTTAATAGCCCAACATAACCTTTTGGTGATTATTTACATGTGGCCATGTAGGATACAAACAGTTATCGGGAGGCCAGGCAGGACTGACTTCTGGAAAGAGAAATAGAGCACTGGTGAAAACTGGTTTGGGGCATTGGTCACAGGCAAAAGCTGGGAGTGGAAAAGCATTCACAAGCTAGTTTTTGGTTAACATTTATAATCAAGATATACAGAGATGTTCTGAATACTGGAGACACGAGAGGAGGAGGTTTGGCTTATGAGGAGGGTCGTTAAAAAAACTAAAGATGAGCTCGTAGAGGCTGAAAAGCAGACAGGGCGATTTTGGCATTTGTTTCAGAAATGGGAACGAAGCTGGTGAAGATTTCTGTGGTCCCTGGGGCTGGTGGTGACATCAAAACTTTCCTATTTTCAGGTAAACATGAACAGTTGCATGTTGGATTGTTCAAAGTGTGAAATATTGGGCTTCAGGGAGATCTAGAAGTGGCCAAGATGGGAACAACTAAAAGCAGGATTACAGATTTTGGCTGAGGAATATTTGAAGAGGTGTCCGAGGTGGGGAGGCAACTGATGGGAGACAAGGGTCAGATTTCAATCCTTGAGTGATATGGGGAGGCTTAAAAACTATGGGTTGAACTGTAGGCTCCCCTAGCTTCTTGGTTATAATGCAATATGAGGCAAAGGAATGAAATGGTCCAAAAGAGGTGGTTGTGGACATTTTGTGCATAGCTGCTATCGCTAGGGGTGAATTCTGATAGGAGGAGGCTGGGATTAATGAGAGAGAGAGAACACAGGGTTTTGGGTGCAACACTTGGGAGTATTTTAGGGAATGTTAAAATTGGGAAAAGGAATAGGATTTGTAAATCAGAGGAGCTAAGTGCCTAATAAGCCATTTCAGTATGCTGGGGAACAACATATGGGCCCTAAAGACTTAGGTGTTGAGATATAGAATAGCCTTTTTTCTCTAAACTGGGATTTAGTGGGTCAGTTAAATATGGGAACAGTGGGCCTTATCAGTGGAAGGTGGAAAGCACAGAGACTAAGTCTTTCTCTAGAACAACAAAATGAGAAGTAGAACAATCTGATCAACCATCTGTAAGTTTCCAAGCATCAGGATGTTAATTATTGGGTAGGCCAAGCCTGTTGCCTTGAAAAACATAGATAGTTGAATTGTATCATCAAGATTAGTTAAAAAAATAAAAAACCAACAACAACAACAACAACAACAAAAAACTCCCAAACCTAAATTCTTTAGCAACACTGGTTAGGACCTTTAGAACTTGATTGGAAAAAGTGACAAGGGGTCATTTGCTGCTCCTTTTGGATTGTGGGACTGTACCTGGCTCAGCCTCTGCGACGGAGAACTTGTTCAGTGGTTTGGGAGCTTTGGGACAAGGAACCTCATTTTAAACATTGAAATCCCTTGAGTATACATTGAGCTAGATCCTTTGTTACTGGTTCCTAGTCATGGGGCTGGATTTATAATTTCTAACCCCAAATTTAAGCTCTCTAGTCTGGTTTATCAGAGGCAATTTCTAGAGCCCCTCCCCTTCCAGGTACTTCTGACAGGATCAACTTGTAGACAGTGCAGAGCTGAAGTCCCTTCTACAGCTGGTTTAACCAAGAAAATGGAAGAATGTGCCCTCGCCTGGGGACTTGATTGGATTTATTTGAATTGTTGACGATTGGGCTTGGCCTCCTTGGTGGTGGTTGAGATTACGGTATCTCCTCAATCGGATTATTGTATTCACATTTCTTCACTTTATCATGTATAGCATATATGCATGGCCGTCCTCAATAAATCTGTCTTTCTCAAAATGAACCAAAGTAAGAGTTTGTAATATATATATACATATATGTGTATGAAAAACAACAAAAACACTTAAAACTCCAGAGAGAGGGTTTGGGGTAAGGTTGGCTGAAAACAAGGAACTCTAGGATTTTTAAACTCCTTGGTTTTGGATACCGCTTAATTTAAGGACTTGATAATTTAAGGGCTAGCTGTGATAGGTCAACCTCCAAATATGACTCTCTGACTTTTTTGAGCTTTTCTTTGCCCCAGGATAGTGCTACTTCACACTATACTTCCCCCCCCCACACACAATAATTACGATCAGAAGCCATTTTCATGGTTCCCTCCTTCAGACACAATATGGGTTACTCTCTTACTTTATACTTCTGAAAATACCAGATCAACTTACCCTTTAGATAAAACTAGGAAACTTAAACATTATACTAGATCCAAGTGGCAACATGAAGTTTGACAAATGTCAAACAGTTTGGATAGATAGAATATTCTAAAACAATTAAACCCAAATCAACCTGTACTTTATCTGTGTGCTGAGATTTTAGGTCCAGTGGATCAGAATACAGGGAAAAAACTAATGAAAACCCCTCAGTGGATCCTTCACCTACCAAACAAGATCTCTTCAGAAACCAACTTGCTCTTGCAAATGACCCTGAACAAGGAACTGCTGTGTAAAACATATGTAAAGTTTTATTGTCAAATGGTGAGACAAAGATGGACAGTGTCTGTGTGTATACATCTGTGCACGTATATCTATATGAAGTCTTAATGTATAAATTATTGATGAAGAGCTAATGATCTAAATAATTTCATTTGAAAACAAATCAACTTGCAAAGTATTGATGAGAGATGAAGACTAGTCTGTGAATAATGTTGAATTTCATGCCTGGACATTTGTGAGAAAAGGAATGAAGAATTTGTGAGGCCTTCCTCATTGAAAGAGCCAGCAATAGAGAAAGACACTAATAGTTTAAAAGAAAATAAACATTTTAAAAAACAAAAATCTTCCACTTTGAAATTGTGCCCCAAGTATAACGCTGGACACATTCATATTAAACATGGACATGAATTTTATGTTTCCTAAGCGTTTGGCCTATGAACTTATCCTCAGTGTTCTTAAATTATAAATCATGTTAAGACCAACTCAAACCATTTTGTCATCTGTCCTCCAAAGAAGTCAAAGTACTTGAAATATATTATCCAGCTAATTCTTAACATTCATGTAAGGTTAACAATTGCATTGTAGACCTTTCCCATAAGGTGAAGTGATAGAGAAGTTGTGGATTACCTAACAGGGCAGCTTCAAAAGGTAAAGGTATATAACTTGCATTTTCTGACTGAAAAGACATGGTATTAACAACAATGACATTTCAGGGTAAAAGTCGATGTGTTCACTGGTGCCAGGCTGGACCCCGGGGAATGAGAGCAGTCCGAAGATTGTTTGGTTGTATTTTTACCCCCATTACCATGTATGCAAAGATCATCTTGGGTGGAACTGGAGCTCATGGTGAACACTGGTAGCTAGTGCATGATTTAGCACCACTTCAATGTACTTTAGCCTTAGAAGGAACACTGATCTAGCTGGAAAGAAGGAAAGTGTCAGACTGACAATGCCTGGCATCATTTACCCACTTTGATTCCTGCAAACAAACACATTCAGAACAAGAACCATCAGGGTTGGGAATGCTGGACTTTGCCATTCAGGAGAAGCCTATTCTTCTTATTACTGTGTTGTTCTGCTAAAAGGCAGTATCTTTCAATGGGGCGGCAATATTTCCACAGTAAACGTGTCTAACATGGAATGTACCCCAAAAGGGCGTGTTTAGGCTCAAAATATTAGCTTCAAATGGGAAAATGTGGGATAATGCAAAGTTTGACTGTTTTTCCTAGAAAGTTACAGGTAATTAAGTAGCAGGAGTTCTTACTATCCTGTATTAGATGTTGAATACAATCCTGATCTGTGCAATATCCTAACACTTGGGACTGACTTTTCAAATACCATATAGTTCAGAAGCCTAAACGAACAAACTACCAAGACTTTAGAAGTCTCTGTATTTCATTCAGACATGAGATTTTTAGCCATACTTTCATAATTATTTTACTAATATTAACTATATTTTTCACAAAAAAACAAATTTCATGTTACTATCATACCAGAAAACAGCTTTCAGTTAGTGCATGAACGCCACAATATACTAACTGGACTGGAAATAGAAAAAAAAGAGAGAGAAGTCTAGTTTTATTGTCTAATTTGAATCATGTGCAAAATACAAACTTTTTTTCTTCCTTCATTTTCTGTTTATAGTTAGAGGGATAAGCCATACTGGGAAGGTTTTGAAAATACTGTCCATCCCTAAAATTTCATTTTAAAATAGCATGATGTCAAACCTACAGCACAATCAATTTCAATGATAAGTTCTCTTTCATAAAATTGGAGCATGAAGATGATACTTAATCTAACACCACCGCTAGCCTAAATCCAGTCCCTCATCTTCTCATGACCAGACTATTTTGACAGCTGAATAACTGCTCTCAGTACCTCTAGGCCCTTCTCTCTCGTGTCTATTAAAGAATATTTAACAAACATCCTGTATTTAGCTCTCATATTTAAGTCTTTCCAAAATACTACTTTACAGTTTGCATCTCCCTCCTCAAAACCTTCAGTGCAAATTCCTGAGTTCGGCATTCAAAGCTTTCCACAATTTGGCACCTACTTATTTCTCCGATGTTATTTCCCACTACTTATGTACACAGACTCTCTTCTCTAGTCAAACTAGTCACATACAATGTATATTCCCACTTGCTGTACCTTGAATTTGTCCCAAATGCATTCCCTCCACCTCCTTCTAGTATCTCAGTCTTGCTCTTCTTTGGGGTCTCCTCCCTGACTACCCAAGATTTTGTAATTATTCCTTCTGCTAAACTTGGGCAGTGTACATATTATATCTACATGGGCTCCTTTGAGTAGTTAGCATATGGTACCTCATAATACCTTTTTATTAATCCTAATAATAAACTAATTGATCAGTCCTAACCACAACTCTCTGGAGGAAGGGGAAGTATTAATTTTCCCATATTACAGGTGAAGAAACTGGGGTTCAGGGAACTTTCTGTCATGCAAGGTCATGTTCCTCCTAAGTGGAAGTCAGGATTCAAACCCACGTCTTTTGATGATAATTCTAGTGTTCTGCCCATTTGATCATAATTTCCTCCTTTTTATAATAACAACCTTACATTTATTTATATGATGCATTAAGGTTTGCACATTATTTACACCACAACCATGCTGAGACAGGTGGGGTATGTCCCATCTCCCCAGCTGGTTCACTGTGGGCAGTGACTATATGTATGTTCCCAGCCTGGAACAGAGAAATACACATAGTAGGTACTCCATGGATAGTTATGGATGTTAGCTTGACTATAATAGGCAAAGATGGCTCTGGAAAACATTTATTTGTTTATTTTTTTATATTTCACTTGACCTGACAAAGAATTTGACCTTTTTCCCTCTTATTTTTGAAAAGAAAAAATTTTTAGTCGTAATTGAAATAAAAATATAACGGAACGCAGGACCTGGCCACTGAAGTATATTCTTATTTTCAAGCAGCTGCTTGTGCCTCCTTAGGTTTGAGTTCAGGGTAATAGCCAAATGTATTTTTACACAGACATGAGCAAATTAATAAGAGCTCAGGTCACCAATGCCACCAATGAGGGTGGATGTCAGGAGGCCCAGGAGAACTTCTCACTTTTAGTCAAATGGTTTCCTCTTCCTTCTGCCTTGTCTGGGGCCTCACTCTCCTCTGTTAAATCATGAGGCCAAGCTGAAAGATGATCTCTAAGGTCCTATCCAGTTTAAATAATTTATGATACTTTGAACCCTTATGTGCTTTGGGTGAGGCTGAAGGAGAGAAAGAATCAGACTATCATAGGCAAATTTCAAAGGGGTCAGTTTAATGGGGGTATTTCTGGTGCTGGGGTGAGTGGATGAAGGAGGTTTGTTGATTTCTCATGTGATGTCACTACAGGAATGAGATTAGAGATAGAACTCATTTCTCTCCTCTAAGAACAGTGTGGGTGAGCTTGAAGAGTGGGGAAAGACATCATTTAGCATAATCCAAGTTTGATTTTTAAAAGGTTGGAGGGATAACAGGCTAGATAGTAGCATACAGGTCATAACATTTCCAGGCATGGTCTCTGCTGGTGCCAGGCCCCTTCTGTAGGCCTATAGAATCCTATAGAATACAGTGCAAACTCTACAGGAAGGAGAGGTACTGAACCAGTGACTTCTTTGCTCTAGGGAACTCCCAGGTAAGAAAACCCCCTGTACCAATGCACAATTATACTACCCAAGTACACTACACTACATTACACAATTCTGTTACCTGTCCAGTCACACAGCCAACATGAGTTGGAGGAGGCGGCGTTAGGGCCAGCCCTCTATCCACTATGCCATACTGCCTCTCTTCAGAAGATTCAGGCTAAATGGATTTTTGTAATCACTAACCTGCATTTGGTTCTCAAATTTAGAGAGGGACAGCATTTGGAGCACTGCTAGAGGGAATTCCTAGATGAAGAAACTCTTTCTGCCATGGCATGTCAGCACCTATGCTATAAACATAGTCTTTGAGAATCACTTTGAGTACAGAGAGATTACAAGGTTACATTCCTTGCCTGGAGTCAAGCAGCCAGAAGGTATCAGATGTTGGATATGAAATGAGATCTTCTTGGATTTAAGGCCAGTTTTCCACCCACATACATTTCCATTTATTTTTCCCCCAGAAGAATCTAAGAAAGGGGTGTTAGCAAATGAATTGAGTAACTAATAAAATGTAGAACAGTTGAGAATCTCATAAAGATGCCCCTCCCCTCACCTAGAACCTCAGTATCAGATTCATTCTTCCTCCTGTTTTACTCACATCTTTAGTTATTGAATTAAAAAAATTAAAGGTACTTGAAAATGAAATGCCTCATTTTGAGGAGTGTGAACCATTTATACCCTGGATTACATAAGGGTGGAGAAGGCCAGGCAGGCAACAGACTTGTTAACTTGGGGCCAATGAATAGGTTTCAATCAGTTAACAATTTGAAGGAATGAGATAAACACACTTTCTAAACACTCCTGGTTGGTCACCTCCACTGTACAAAAGGACTTGACTTTCTCTAGAGAACGTGTAACAGGTGAGGTTAAATATTGTCCTCATCTGGGCCCTGCTTAATTTAAATAAGGAAGGAGGAAGAAGATAAGAGGTCTATGTAATGATGTTGTCATCCAATCCCAGTGTGGTGTGTTAGTGAGGTCAAACTCAGATAGAAACACATATTGACTTAGAAAACCACAAATTAAAACTATCTACATTGTATTGTATTTTTATCTTGTTAAACATTTTACAATGAATACATTAATCTGATTTAGGCTTGGGGCCAGCTGGCCTAGTATTATCAAATACCTCTGGTGTAGAGGAAAGAGCCCTGAATTTGGTGTCCGAGAACCCAGGTGTGAATCCCAGACAGTAACCTGTGTGACTTTAAACAAATCATTTACCCTTTCTGGATTTTTTCCTCTTGTCTATATAATATGGAAGAGAGCAAAAGGGAAATCATCTCACTCAGAAACCCCAACACAACTTAAACTGGGATCCTTGTTTTTAAAGCTAGAGGGACTGAAACATTTACTAAGCATGTCATGTTCACTGCCTTTTGGTAGGAAGCAGGGCTACCATCTCTGCAAGAGGTCATTAGGGGAGCTTCACTGTTTTATACCTCACACACCTCTTTCTCCCACTTACCCTATTTGTTCAAGCTGTCCCTTAGGAAAGGATCTCTCCCCCCAAAAACAAAGCATAGTGACTACTCCTTGCATCCTGATCTGCGTCAATACATTTAAAACCTTCCAGTGAAAAGATCTGTTGGTAGATATTGGGCATCCAATTAATGCTGTAAGT